TACCTAATTTTCCTACTTGACAGATGCAACTGTCTTTCGGGTTGCAAAGGTTGACAACAAGCTACACAATTGCTTGGAAGCTCACTCCGACCTGGGCTGGCTTCGAACTCATGACCTTGTGGTCAGAAGTTGTCTTAATTCAGCTGACACTCAGACAGCGCGCCACAGTCCCGGTTTGTCATGTATATGTGCATTGTAATCCGCCCTGAGTTCCCTGTGGAGTAAGAAGGATGGGAATATAAATACCCAGTGGGAAGCGAAGAAAAATCAGTGGAAATGGGACAGAAATGTTTGGATATATCTATATCAAGAGAAGCTTTCTTAGTTTTCAACACAGCATAGAAAAGCTATTTTATTTACACATCGATGCCCAGAATCTCAGTCAGCTTGAAATTCAAAGAATGTAACTTTTCCAAACTCTGGTTCTCAAACATTCCAGTTATATTTGGGGTGCCGGGGTGGGTGAATGGATTGCAGTCTTGCAGACTCTCTTGCCAGGCAGTCAAAGGGGACATTCCTGGCCAATGGCCTGACTCAGTTGAATGCTACTTCAGTGATAACTTACAGAATAGCAAGGGGTTTCCCTCAGTAATAAAAATATAAAGATAATGCAAGAAACAAATGTGTGTGCCAACCACAACAACATCCCAAGTTACTATTTGGTTAATAATACCTTTGTGTTTTCCCCCCAGATGCTGGATGAAAATCACCATCTAATACAGTGCATTATGGACTATCAGAGCAAAGGAAAAACAGCAGAATGTACTCAGTGAGTATGATCTTTATTTGTGTTGATTTATCTTGGCTGTCTTCTTTCTTTGCTAATTGTCAGCAGTTGAAAGGAGCTCTTTCATTGCTGCAAAGCTGAGAATATCTGTAAGGCTTTTCAAGCCACTCTCCACTGGCCGCAGAATTTAAAGTAGTCCTCTTGTGCTTGAGGAGTTTAACTCCAGGATAATTATGTTGAGGAGTGCAGCTGTAAACTTTTATTCTTCAATGGTAAATTTGCTATTTCAAGGAGTGTGACTTAGCACAAACCTTCAGAGGAAATAAGAACCATGGGATGACATTGCACTTATCGGTAAATATTGTGACAGATTGAGGTTGCCCCAAGATGTGTCTACACTTGCTATTATAGTAGTGCAATAAGACTTGAACTCCATTCAGCAGAATCCTGGGCTTTATAGTTTGGTGTGGTACTTTTTTGAAAGTGAAAGCATTTTTGTTTTTGAGGTGGGGAATACTATAGCAGGTGTTGTAGGATTACAACCCCCATCTTCCCTGACCGTAGGCCTTGCTGACAGTTGTTTATGGAAGTTGGAGTCCAACAGTGTTTAGAGAGCCATAGGTTCCTCACTCACATGAAAGAAAGATTCGTGTTGTAATAGAAGCTGTGGATGCCTTTTCTTGCTAGAATGGTGGAAAAGAAATTCACATAGAGATTTTTATAACAGACTTATCTGATCCAGAGATAGCTATGTGGAGGCTTTGAGGAGGGAGAGAGGAAAAAATAGAATGAGGGGATTTTTTTCCATTAAAAAAAAATCAAAAATTGGATTATGTTTTCTTTTACAAAGATGAATGAAATCTTTTGGACATTTCTGAAAACTTCATAAGAGGAAGGCTTTTAACCAATTAACAGTGTTAATTCTCTATCATTCATTGCCTTGATTTCCTTTTTTCCATTCATTTTATGGAAATTGATTCATTATGTCTGCTTGACACTATGGAGAAATTTGTTGTCAACAGCCGTCAAGTCAACTTCAACTTATTGTGAAATTTCATGGGGTTTTCTTATTTATTTATTTATTTATTTATTTATTGTATTTGTATACCGCCTTTCTCAGCCTTTAATTGGCGACTCTTAGGCAAGGAATATTCAAAGGGGTTTTTGTTAGTTCCTTCCTCTGAAATACCATCTACAGTAGGCTTGTGCGCTTAACCATTTTAGCTGTTTTCCTTTGGCCAATCCGGTTTTTAGGCTTGGTTGTGTGGCCGTAACAGCAAGGGCCCAGCCGTCACGGTTTCCCATCTGTAATGGGACCATGTGACAGCCAATCATGGCTCCTTCTCCCCTGTTCGGGAGCACACGGCACGCAAAGAGACTGCCGTGTGATCCTCCTCACATGGGGTTTCCCTGTGAGCCCTACCTATTGGGCCAATTGGAGTAGAAGAATGCCCTGACATGCCTTATGCAACCTGTGTCTACCTTAACTCCACTGCTGAAACACAGGCTCCCTTGAAGGGAAAAAAGGAAAGGGTCCCATGAAGGATGCTTCTTTAACACCATTGATGAAACCCAGGCTCTCTTGAAGTGAAGAAAGGAAAGGAATTCCAGAAACGGAAAGGTGAGCCTCGTAAGTTCCCCATTGCCGCTAGTGGGCCAGATCTAGCCGTATTTTTCGGCTGCGGAACAAAAACAGCTTTCCATCTCCTTGCCCGTTTTCAGGAGGTGCATGAAAATGGATATGGGGATCTATTGGAATCCAGCCAGGAGAAACGGATTGAGGTTCAGCAAAAATGTGCAAGCCTAATCTACATCACATTTGTTGCATTTGTTATATTTGTATATTATAAACATTGCATTTTAATTTTTTCCCTACAAATTTGTGAGTTTTTTCTCGAGAGGAAAAAGAAGCAGAAATTTTGCATATCTCCAGAGATGAATAACTGCATGGGCAGGAGACAGCTTTCACCCTGCCCATATGTACACTGTTCAACCTGGACATGAACACAAATTGCCTCCAGTTTAATACTTATTTTCACCCAGTTGACAGCTATTAATTTTTTCTCTGTTCTGGGGATTGAGGAGGCTGATAAAACCAAACAAATGCATTTATATAGGACTTTTAACAATCTGGTAGTTTATTATTTACCTAATTTTTAAAAATTGAACATGAGAGATGTTTGTGACCTGCCAGTGGCACACTTTTCTTCTCTTCCAGGATGTAGCCTGTGGTCTCTGACACCGTTAACAAAAGCTCAGACATATCTTTTGGTTTCCTGCCATTGGCAGGTAAATACGAGCACGAGTTCCTTTGTTGTGGTGGTTTCAAGTTACGCATAAGGAAATGCTGCCAGCTAAAATGTTTATGTCTAAAAATGCACACAAGCATGTTGTACTTCAATGAGTGGTTAATGTATTAGTTGGCAGGCCTATGTATAGCTCTGAAGGACATGCCGAGGCAGCCTTCCCTTCCTTCTTTTAGCCAGAACCACAGCTAATCAAATTGCAGAATCCTCGAATGGGCCCAGTGAGCTGATTCAGGCTCCATCAGGGTGGACCTATTTTGGGTTGTGAGCAGGAGAGCTTTTTCCAAATGTTACCAGAAATCCTTCCTGATATACTTAGTTACAGTCTTCCCTCCATCCAAACTTACGACTTTTGCTGATTTAGTATTCACAGATTTGATTACACCATTCTGTAGTAAATCTTCTTCATCTTTCGATCCTTCTAACCCCTTGGTGGTGCAACTGGCTAAACCGCTGATCTGCTGATCTTGCTGATCGAAAGATTGGCAGTTTAAATCTGGGAAGCAGGGTGAGCTCCTGCTGTTAGCCACAGCTTCTTCCAACCTAGCAATTTAGAAACGTGCAAATATGAGTAGATTAATAGGTACCGCTTCTGCGGGAAGGTAATGGCGCTCCATTCATTCATGCCAGCTACATGACCTTGGAGGTGTCTACGGGCAACACTGGCTCTTCTGCTTAGAAATGAAGATGAGCACCACCCTTGAGAGACAGACACAACTAGACTTAATGTCAGGGGAATCTTTTACCTTTACCTTTAAGTCTGCTTCCACTGTCTTTGGCCCAAGGCTCACTGACATGGCAAACCCATGTTTGGCTAGTCCCATTGTAGACTGTAAATGGGGAACCATATGACCCGACCTCTGGTTTTCTATCAGGTGGGATATGGGGAAGAGTCAGTCAAATGCATACAGATGGGTTACAGCCCAGATATAGGTTTACTGCAGGACTAAAGCTCTCTAGATATGTTTGTACTACAAACCACGGTCACCATAGCCAGAGATTAGGAAGGCTGAGAGTTGCAGTTTGAAGCATCTGGAAGGCTACGTGATTTCCACCTCTGGTTTACTGCCATAATGCGAATTAGATCGAAATCTTTGCCCATTCCTTAAACTTCAAAAAGCTCTTCTAGTGTACCTTTCTGACGTCATCAAACTCTGATAGAGAAAATCTCAATGACTTCAATGGACAATCCTCCGCACTTTCAGGTTGTTTAGGATTCCATTCTCTGGTTCAGGAGTGGGCAAAGTGCAACCTAGGCTCTCCAACAGTAGAATTTATTTTGGATCCTCCAGGTGTGTTGAATGTCAGCTCCCAGAATTCCTGACCATTAGAAAAGCTGGCTAGGACTTCTGGGATTTGGAGTCCAAAACACCTGAAGGTCTAAAGGCTATGTTAGTGGTAAAAATGCATTTTTCCAGAACAAATTTCCCTTCAAAATGCTCCCCAGGGGTCAAGGAATGTCAGAGTCAGGCTTCCTAGTCCTCTAGAGGGGCGTTGGATATATTTCTTTTTTGCCGGAGCAAGTACATTGTAGGATTAGCTAATTCTATCAGGTGGGACCTACAGTACCCCTGCCCTGGTATGAGCCATAATGCCTAGTTCTCTATTTGCCACGCTGCAGATGTTCAGGTTTCTCATGAACCTGCCGTACATTTTCATAAGGATTATAGCTCAGATATATAGTTTTTGATTCATGCAGAAGATATCCCACCTTAAATCTCTTGCGTTTCCACATCAGACTAGAACAGGAGTAGAAAATATGTGGCTCTCCAGAATTTGCTGGACTGCAGTATCCATAAGTGATACCCAACGGAGCCACTGCTGAGGAAGAGGAAAGGTGCAGTTCAATGAGATCTAAGGCCCTTCCAGACAGGCTCTATATTCCAGGATCTGAACCCAGGCTTTCTGTTTATCCCAGATTATCTGGCAGCGTAGACTCGTATAATTCAGATTAAATCAGAAAACCTGGGATATAGGGCCTGTCTGGAAGGGCCCCTAGAGGGTCACACCTTGGTCACCTTTGGGATGAAAAGACCCCCTTCTGAAAGCTATGAGAATTTTGACAGGGGATGTAGGCAGTTCTAACCTAGATGGACCAACAAATTTGATCTTTCCTATTTTGAATGCAGCATAGAACAGGTTGTTTTCTGGGTAAATGGAAAGAGCCAAGGGAGGAGAATCCTCAACCAGTATTATGCGCCAGTAGTTGGAGTGCTGGACTGGGACCTAAAGAGTTCCAGGTTCAAACCCCCACTGAACCATGATGTTCACCGTGTGACCTTGGTTCAGTCACACTCAGTCTGACCTATTTCACAGGGATTTTGTCAGGACAACATAAAGAGAAAAAAGAGACAGGCACCACCTTGAGCTCATTGGAGGAAAGGCAAGTTGTACGTGTTCCTAATAAATAATACATCAAAATATGGTTGGGGTTAGAGGAAGGCAATGGCACACCTGTTCTGCACAAATCTTGCCAAGAAAATCCTTTGATAAAGTTGCCATAAGTTAGAAATGAAGGGAAGGCACACAACAACAATACTCAAGCAGCAGCCTGGTGCAAGTCAGAGATGTTGCAAGTGAATCTGTTATTTTCATCTGAGAAATATTGGAAGAATGATCCTGTAGGTGCTCATATACCTGCTCACATCAGTACTTAAGACGAGTTATTATTTATTTCATATCAAAAGCGTTGCATAAATTAGTATAAAACTGATAAAATAGAAGGTATGCAGGTGGCTAAATATCTTTTGACCAAATTTGGTCTATTATCTTACCAAGTTCATAAAGTTGAGTTTGATTAGATGCACCCACTCCAAAGGTCGACATTGCACTTTTATCGCATAGTTAATCTGCATCAGATATTAATTATTTTTCTTTTGCCTATAGATACCAACAAATCTTGCACAGAAATCTGGTGTACTTGGCAACAATAGCAGACTCAAACCAGAATATGCAGTCATTGCTTCCTGCTGTAAGTACCTGCTTGACACTGAGTCTAGTCCATTATTTTGAGTGAAATGCTTTGATTGAGATTTCCTACAGGATATTAAATAATTTTGGGAAGAGGAGAAAAGACTTAGTGCGCATGCACGCTGTAGAATTAATGCAGCTTGGCTCCACTTTAATTGCCATGGCTCAATGCTATAGAACCACGGGATTTGTAGTTTAGTGAGACACCATCACTCTTGGGCAGAGAAGGCTACAAACTTTGTAAAACTAGAACTCACATGATTCCATAGCATTGAGTGCTTTCAGACTGCATTGATTCTATAGTGTACATGCACTCATAGTGTCTAATGGTATGGGGATTATTTTCCCCAGACCATTATTTTAGGTCAGTATGAGAAACCTACAATGCCCTTTTTATATCATTGTGTTCCTGTCTCAGGGTCTGTCTCTTCCTAACATTCATTAATGTACAGTTAATGGGCTACCTAGTAAAATTAGGTAAAACATCAATGCATTCTCTGTATATAAAAATGAATAATAATATACTGTCTCTGCATATGCAGAATAAACATTACTGTCCACCTCGCAAGAGGTCATGTGCTTTTGGAAGATGGCTGAAGCTAGGGAAAATTATTTTGTGGTCTTCAGTGTCCAGAATCCCATCCTAGGTGGGAGATTTTGGAAATAGCAATCAAAAGAACTAGCATTTTAATACTCTATATACCCCAATACATATTATGAAACTGGGGCTAACCAAGATTGAATCTGTCTGTGTGAAATAGCTGCCCCTATTTTTCTGATAACAGAGGGCAAATTCCCTTTTTGACTTCAAAGAAAGCATTGTTCAACCCAAATCCAAATCTTCATTTCATGTTGTCTTTCCTCTTTGTGCACTGAAAACTGGAGTATTTCTGGATAGTGAAGATGTATGGATATGTTGTGTGCTGTTCTGGCAGGCCTCCCATCTGTAAGTGATAAATATAGTCTCAGCCCGCGTGTGTGTTTTCTAATTAACTGACTGCTAATTAAAATGGATTACAAAATATACAGAGCTGCCATTACCCGACACATCTTAGTGTTTTTCCTGCTCCCATCAGTTAACCTTCTAATTTCACGCTAATCTTCTGTAAATATATCTCTCTGTGTGTATGTTTTTAATCCAAAAAAATATGCTTTATCTCTTCCAACCTCCAAAATATGTGCTTGGATTCTTCTTGGGTTGTTTAGATTCGAAAGAGAAGATCACACGTACTATAATAATAGCTGTTGGTTTGCTCCTGATTGAAAATCCTTATTCATGATGTGATTCATTATTCATCACGGCTAACAATAAATCATAATAATGGGAGAAAATCTGCTGGATCAAACGTTCAAAAAACAACAACAGCATCAGCGGCAGCAGGCTCTCCAAAGAGACATCTCTCTCTGAATCTTTCTTCTCCTTGTTGCCATCTCCAGCCACCGACGCAAAACATGTCCCTGGGCCCCGGAGGGATGAATCAGAGCGCATCCAACCAGGCTCTCCATCCACAGAGCAACCTCAGTGATGCAATCGGGACCGGCCTTCCGCCTTCCTCCCTCATGCAGAGTCAGATTAGTAACGGTGAGCTTTCCGAGGTTGCCTGGCAACTCCATCGCAAAAACCCGGGTTTGTTTCAGAAGCTGCCTTTTATGGCTGTTTAACTAGCCTCTTGGGCACGTGGGGAATCTCAAATGTACACACACGTTGTCGGGTCTGCAGCTTGTAAAGGTTGTTGCAACCATGCTCCCCAGCGTGGGCTTCCTGATCAATCGATAGTTGAAAGCCAAGGCCATGGAGTTTGACATCATTGATCCTGTAAAGTGTTGACTTCAGTGGCTTGTGAAGTAAATTGTATAAACGCCAGGGATGTCACCCATAAGAATTATGCCAAGTGAAAATTTTCAATTGCTGGCATTGCATAATGTGAGATCTTGAAAATGGTTAATAGGTACACATTCCCTCTGTACGTTTGTAAACCTCATTTCTTTGGAAATTTTCTTAGGGCGTCAAACTTTATTCTTTCCCCTTATCTATATTCCGTATCAATGTTCCCCATAATTTAAGCATTTTGGAGACCATGGAAAACCCCTGAGATTTAAGGGTTTTTGTATCTAGGAATTTGGATTGGGAACTAAAGGTAACAAAAATAAACTTCTTGGTTACCATACGCATTTCTTTGTTTGTTGCCATGTAGCTTCAAGTTGACTCTGTCCTATTGTAAGCTTTTCTTTGCAAGATTTATTTAGAGATTTGCTGTTGCTTTCTTCTAAGTCTGAAAGCGTTTGACACAACAACAACAACAACAACAACAACAAGCCAGTAATGATGTTGCGGTTGATTTTATTTGGTCTTGTTTTATTTTATTTTATTGTGTGTGTTTTAATTTGTATTTTTTGGCCTTGTCCCCTTGTAAGCCGGCCCAAGTCCCTTTGGGAAGATGGTTGCAAGGTATAAAAATAAAGTTGTTGTTGTATTGTCGAAGGCTTTCATGGCTGGAATCACTAGGTTCTTGTGGGTTTTTTCGGGCTATAGGGCCATGTTCTAGAGGCATTTCTCCTGACGTTTCGCCTGCATCTATGGCAAGCATCCTCAGAGGTACCTCTGAGGATGCTTGCCATAGATGCAGGCGAAACGTCAGGAGAAATGCCTCTAGAACATGGCCCTATAGCCCGAAAAACCCACAAGAACCTAAAGTTGTTGTTGTTGTTGTTGTTGTTGTTGTTGTTGTTGTTGTTGTTGTTATAGGTGGTCCCAATGGTGATTGGCACATTAGGTGCAGCGCCTAAAGACATTGGCCTGTACTTAAGCACAATCAGCACTGAAAAAATGACCATCTGTCAACTGCAAAAGGTCACCCTACTCAGATCTGCAAACATTATTCACCAATACATCACACAGTCCTAGACACTTGGGAAGTGTCCGACGTGTGATCCAATACAACAACCAGCATAGCGATCTTGTTTGCTGTGTACTAATCTTGTTGTGTTTCTGATGATGATGATGATGATGATGATGATGATGATGACGACAACAACAACAACAACAACTTTATTCTTATTCCCTGCCACCATCTCCCTGAAGGGACTCAGGCCGGCTTACAAATGGGACAAAATGCACACAGACACAAATACAAAACAATTCATCAAAGCAAAAACACAATTAACATAAGAACATAGTTAAATATAACAATCCAGATAAAATCACACATAATAAAGCATAAGAGTATAAAACAGCAACGTAAAAACTCAGTCAAAACAATACTCAACAAAGCCAGTTGCCAGTAGTACAATGGGTGTGACCCATTGGGTTTAAAAGGACCAGGCATAGGATAGTGCAAGCAATGTATCATAGGGCCAGGTATTGGATGAAGTGCAGAGAACAAAATATTATTAGGGAACCTGGGGACTGGGCATTTATAGCTAGGGACTAGGCGTTCTCAAATGCAAACCGAAACATCCAGGTTTTCAAATCCCTGCGAAAGGAGGACAAAGTGGGGGGTTGCCTAATCTCCTTTGGGAGGGAGTTCCAAAATTAGGGGGCCACCACCGGGAATGCCCATTCTTGTGATAGTGGTGGGAGTGAGAGGAGGGCCTTCCCAATGGATCTCAGAGCCCGTGCTGGTTCATACGGGGTGATGAGATTCCAAAAGTCATCCAGTGACTTTCTGTGACTAGTGAGAGCTTTGAACCCCAGCCTCCCAGAGAGCAAGCAACACCTACTGAAACTCCCTCTTCTGGAATTTTACTAGGTGTTGCTTGTCACACAAACAGGTAGCAAGTACACCTGCAGAAATGCGAACATTAAAGGTGCAGGAGCCCTTTCTAATTATTACATTCTAATTGTTGTAAGCCATCTTGAGTCCCTTTGGGGAGAGGGGGTGTGGTATAAATAAAATTATTATTATTATTATTATTCCAGAAAATATATTGTTTGGAGTCAGAATCTGCTTCCACGTGAAATTCACCTTCAGTTTCCAAATGTCTAGCTTTGCAGTAACTTAAAACTTCAGTAAAGCATTCAGAAATAAATTTTAGGTATTATAAGAAAAGGGACAGAAGTTCCCAAGAGACTGCAGGCACAGCAAATGTTAGAGTTCTAAGTGTGAACTATTTTTGGCGTCTCGCTGCTGTGCTAGAAATTTGAGAACTGAAGGAAGATTTCTTATTTGGGTCAGAATCCTCAAGGGCCATGTGAGTTAGTACCCTAATCCTACCTCCTGCCCTTCCTGTTCAAGACTAAAGGAAGGTGAAGTCTGAATAGTCTTCAGTGGCATCATTTCTTGTTGTCATTCCCTCTTTGCTTTCTGTTCAGGTCCCAATCATGTGTCTATGCAACAGTCAGGCCAGAACACAATGCCCACGACTTCCCTGAGCATGACTGTCAGCAGCCACGGAACTGGGCCCGGCTATAGCCATACGGTGCCTGCTTCTCAGAATGTACCAATGCAAGGCCAAGGGTCAATAGGCAACTACGTCTCACGGACAAATATCAACATGCAGTCCAACCCAGGTATGATTGCCTAGGTCTTCTTGTTCTTGGAAAAATATGTCATTTGTATAAAGCATCGCAGCTTTGTTGGACTTGGGAGCACTTATTACTCATCGAGGGCTGGGGAGGTAGCTTGAAGAAAGAGGTTATTTCACACGCCACAGTTGACATAGCACTATGAGTCCACTTCCGCAGCCATGTCTTTAGAATTGAGGAGTGTCTAGTCTGACACGGCTTTCGAGTTTTCTGGCTGAGAATTTTCAACATTCCTCTGTGGGTTCCATAGGATGGAACTATAGTATGGGATCATAATGCTATAATAGTGTAAGGTGTAAGGGCTTGGGGAAGCGTGTTCGAAATTGGGCTGCTGTTCTTGTGCAACTCTGAGGTTGCTTGGTTTTGGCCTTGATGATTCATTAGTTGAGCACATCTCTTTTTAGAGTTCTCTCAGCACTGTGGGGCTTACAGTATATATAAAAATAAACAGAGAAAAGGGAAATAAATTGAGGTGGAATACACCTCAATTTACACATGGGGTTTTTAAAGATTAATGGCTGTAAGACAGAGTTCTGGGAGCTAGTTTTGTCCACTATGACTTTCTGCAGGTTGCATCCTTCCCATATGCATTTTAAAATCCAGATGTGATCCTAAAGCAGGGGTGAGAATTATGTGACCATCTAGATCTGTGATTCTCAACCTGTGGGTCCCCAGATGTTTGGGCCTTCAACTCCCAGAAATCCTAACAGCTGGTAAACTGGCTGGGATTTCTGGGAGTTATAGACCAAAACATTTGGGGACCCACAGGTTGAGAACCACTGATCTAGATGTTGCTGAGCTGTAGTCCTCAGCATTAATTATAGCTTATATTATTTTCTAGTTCTGCTGAGTGTTATAGTTGAGCAGTATCTGGAGGGTGTCCAATTCCCACACCTTCCTTAAAGGGAGACCTTTCATCTTATTTTAGAGACGAATTGCAACTCATGGAGCTAATGTTCCTTTTGAGAGGGCCACCTCCCTTCCCCCATTTATTCATTAGATTGACATATCTGAAAGCAAACCAGGAGTTCAAAGACAGTCTTGGTTGCTATGTGCAATCTTTGGGCTTCATGATTTCCTAGGTAGGCATTTTGGTTCCCTTAGATCAGTGGTTCTCAACTTTTAGGTCCAAAGGTGTTTTGGCCTACAACTCCTAGAAATCTCAGTTAGTTTACCAGCTGTTAGGATTTCTGGGAGTTGAAGGCCAAAACATCTGGGGACTGACAGTTTGAGAACCACTACCTTAGATTATTATAGGTCCAGGAGAGAGCTTTCCTAATAGAAAGTGATTGTAGGCCACTTGGCCTGGATAATAGCAAAAAAAAAAAAAAAATGTCGAAAGTGCCCTCAACTATACCTAGGTGACATATGGGGGCCAAAGAATTGTTGACAGTTTTTGCATATCTATGGGTCACACCTCATCCACCTCGGATATGGATGTAGAATTTGAGGGTCATCGTATGCACTTGTGTACATTACAGTGTCCATGATGCACCAGCAAGCGGCAACGTCGCATTACAATTCTGCGCAAGCAGGAACCCAGCATTACCAAGGGCAGTCTTCCATTGCAATGATGAGTCAGAGTAACCAAGGCAACAGCATGATGGGACAGCGGCCGATGGGCCCCTACCGACCTTCACAGCAAGGTAACACCTTAATACTGTCTGAGCAGTGCTAGATTGCAGCTATGAGACAGGAATTTTGCAGTTTTCCTGTCGTAGAGACAGGAATTTTGCAGTTTAGTTTCCATCTAGGATTTTTCTGTGGAAAAGTGTCTAGGAAAAGGGATCAAAAACATTGCATTGTGGAATAGTAGTTAAAATTTACCTTTTTTACTTCTGGGTTGAATAATAACTCTAGAGTAGAGGCAAGTGGACAAAGAGAACTGCACTGGAGAAATGGCTTGGAGCAGCTCTCTTACAGCACCTTGATCGCATCCATATTGGCCTCCCTGCTTCACAGTTTCTTGGACCAAAAATTCAGAGCTTAGATGTCTTCTCATGGATCATATCTTCATAAAACAAAGAAAAGTTACAGCATAATCCTAAACATATTCACTTGGAAGTAAACCGCACTACGTTTAATAGGTCTTATCCCCCAAAAGAGAAATCAACCTGCATCCTTCAATGTACATTTACCAAAGTACAAAATTTTAGCCTTAATCGGTATGCATCTTTACCCGTATTACTATTCCTAGACCCATAATTTTTAATTCATGCTGGGTGGCAAAATGCAACTTCATACATGACCAGGATTATTTGTGCTTTGGAGTACTTCTTTCTCTCTCCCCCTTTCTCCGTTCCTTCTCATTTCCTGCCATAGCAGCTGCAATCCTGACTTTCCTTGCTTCTGATTCCAGAGAAGTAACAGGGGTTACTAGGCTACCAAGTTCTCCCATCCTGAAGCAATGCACAATGAGTAGTAAAATTGCCTTTGGGAAATGAAGGTGGTGTGGAAGGGTCTGTCAGCATGCTCTTTATGTGCATGCCAGAAAAGGGAGAGCAGTTTGCATTTGGGATGTAATCAGCAGAAGAGAGACAGAAGATGTTGCAGTTAGTTGGAAAGAAAGAGCTATGGTACTGTAGGGTTGCCAGATGCCTCTTATTGTAGAATCTCCCCTTATTTCAGGGTGAGAAATCTCGTCCCTTATAGTGTTAGCAGGTGTTTTTTATTATAAAAGTTGTCCCCTATTAGAGGGTTAGCACGTTTTTTTTCCGTTTTATAGACTAAACAAGATGTTGGAAAGTCTGAAGTTTTGGATTTGAGCCAAAGACGTGTGCATTCTGTAATTTATCCAGATGACATTAGGTTAATTCCACAGGGAAATACTTAACTAAGTTAACTAATAATTTGGTTCCCACTGATTTTATCCTAACACCTCTATGAAGTAGACTAAAAGATAAGTTCCTTGCAAGCTTTTGTTTGGGTTTTTTTTTTTTGAGGGATAAAATTGTTTATGTTGTCATGGATATGTCTATAATTTAGGATCTTTAACAGTGTACCATGCATTCCAAAGCAGGATAAAGCAAACCCCCATTCACTGCATGTATGCCCTATATGGTGCTTGTCTGCAATTAAATAAAGTTTGGAATGCCATCCTAGAATGAGAAGCTTTGAGAAGTGAGGGAGTAAACACGGCTTATGGGTATATCTTCATCTCAAATACAACTTTGCCCTATAGTCTTGGGTAGTAGTGGTAGTGATGATGCTCCCCCCCCCCCCCCGTATCAGGAGAGACTTGAGAAACTGCAAGTCGCTTCTGGTGTGAGAGTATTGGCTGTCTGCAAGGACATTGTCCAGGGGATGACCAGATGTTTTAGCATCCTGTGGGAGGCTTCTCTCATGTCCCTGTGTGAGAAGCTGGAACTGACAGATGGGAGCTTACCCCACTCTGGCACAAGGGTTTAACCCATTGCGCCACTGGGGTCTCCTATGATGCTGATGATACTGATGATATATTTGACCAAGCAGGGATCTGTATAGGACAATGGTGACTCAGTGAGTTTCATTGCTCAGGAAGGATTTGAAAATGGATCCCCCCTATCTTTTTACTAACATCCTAACCATTACAACAGAAGTGGGCAACTGGGAAGCCAGGCGGCCACATTAGCCTTCAAGAATCCTAGGAGGACTGAATTCCCCTACTGTTTAATCCCATAAATATCTATTTCTACCCTCAGTTGTCCTCTAGGGAGCATGGTGGGCATTTAATCATGTTTTAATGCTTCCCTGGGCCACTTCCTTTTCACTTCACATTTTTGGAAAAGTCCATTCTAGGTTTGAAAATGACCTGGTAGGCAAATATGCATAGAAACTGACCTCATTGACCCTTAAAGAAAATTAGTGGGTGAAAACTTTTTGAAAAATGACCTCAGAAGGGGCCACAAAAGCAGCCTTAAAGGCTATTTATTTGTTTGTTTGTTTGTTTGTTTACAGTATTTATATTCTGCCCTTCTCACCCCACAGGGGACTCAGGGCGAATTACAGTGTACATATACATGGAAAACATTCAATGTCATAGACACACAACATATATAGACAGACACTCAGAGGCTATTTAATATTCCAGCTTTTAATGAGGGTATTCTGGCCACCAGGGGAGCTGTCGCTTCACCATCCATTTGTGGCACTGATTAAGTACTTCCTCATTCTTTTCATGCTTGCTGGAGATGTTTATGGCCTCGAAATTAGTTAAATTAGCCTCCCCACATAAGCGGTACCTAAATTTCCTACTTGACAGATGCAACTGTCTTTTGGGCTGCAAAGGTCGACAGAAAGCTACACAAATTGGTTGGAAGCTCACTCTGACCGGTGTTGGCTTCGAACTCATGACCTTTCGGTCAGTAGTGATCTTAATGCAGCTGACTTCTAGCCAGCTGCGCCACAGTCTCAGTGCTATATCTATATCTATATTCATTTCATGAGCCACTCCCTCCCTGCACTCCATGAAACTGGCTGTTGTTTTGATAGTACAGAACAGAGACTAGACTCAAACCAGAATCTCATTCTTGACGTTCTGTTACACAAGGTATAGGTAGAAGCAGGGTGTATGGGAATTATTTGCGTTTAAAGAACTTTTTTTTGTTTCTTTTTTAACATCACTGCAGATTGATTTAAGATCCGTTTGCTCTGCTTTGTAGGCTCCTCTCAGCAGTATATGGGCCAGGAGGAATACTACAGTGAACAATACAGTCACGGACAAAGTTCATCAGAGCCCATGAACCAGCAATATTATCCTGACGGTAATTTGCTGAGCAGTCTGTCATATGTTTCTAAATCCATTGAAGTGCAAGAGAGTTTTGGGGATCCAGAATGGAATTAGGAAGTGGAAACACATTCAGAGACCTATGCTCCTAAGCCTTTTGTTCTGGAAACTACAGCCACTGATGACAATGGGGGTTATTTTCCAGCAGATTAGAAAGTTAACATCACAGCTGTTAGGAGGTCAAATAGCATGTGCCACAGTAGTTGAATGAGGGGGAAACCAATTCGTAAAGATGGGTGAAGCATCCAAGAAGGAGCCCGTAAAGTGCCACCATTCATGTGACATCATTCATTCAGTTCACCTTTGTGTGAAAGGTATTTTTTTTAATTTAAAAAGTTAAATAGCAAGTGTGGCAGATTGGGACTAGAGAAAACCTTTTAGAGAGTCATGCCAGCAACTGTCTGGTATGATCCCATGTTTCTTGTAGCGTCCATTATCCCAACACTGAGATGTTAAGTTTTTTGCCAACACAACAGATATTTTCAAAAGAGTATCCCAGTTCTTATTCTCTTTGGTGCATGGCTACCTTAAGCCATGCACCAAACGAACTTATGAGGAAATGTGGCATGTAAAGCAAAATGAAAACAATAGCTTTGTTTTGTCGAATGGGGAAGATGGCATAAGGCAAAGCAACAAGAGGCGTCAAACAGCTATAAAAATGGGTTGCTGTGAGTTTTCTGGGCTGGATAGCCATGTTCTAGAAGTGTTCTCTCCTGACGTTTCACCCACATCTATGGCAGGCATCCTCACAGGTTGAGGGGTCTGTTGGAAACTAGGCAAGTGAGGTTTATATATCTGTGGAATGTCCATGATGGGAGAAAGAACTCTTGTCTGCTTGAGGCAAGTATGAATGTTGCAAATGGTCACCTTGATTAGCATTTAATGGCCTTGCAGCTTCATAGAATCATAGAATCAAAGAGTTGGAAGAGACCTCATGGGCCATCCAGTCCAACCCCCTAACAAGAAGCAGGAATATTGCATTCAAATCACTCCTGACAGCCTCTGTTTAAAAGTTTCCAAAGAAGGAGCCTCCACCACACTCCAGGGCAGAGAGTTCCACTGCTGAATGGCTCTCACAGTCCGGATGTTCAGATGGAATCTCCTTTCTTGTAGTTTGAAGCCATTGTTCCATTGCGTCCTAGTTTCCAGGGAAGCAGAAAACAAGCTTGCACCCTCCTCCCTGTGACTTCCTCTCACATATTTATACATGGCTATCATATCTCCTCTCAGCCTTCTCTTCTTCAAGCTCAACATGCTCTGCTCCTTAAGCCGCTCCTCATAGGACTTGTTCATTTTAGACCCTTGATCATTTGAGTCGCCCTCCTCTGGACACATTCCAGCTTGCCAATATCTCTCTTGAATTGTGGTGCCCAGAATTGGACACAATATTCCAGATGTGGTCTAACCAAAGCAGAATAGAGGGGTAGCATTACTTCCCTAGATCTAGACACTATGCTCCTATTGATGCAGGCCAAAATCCCATTGGCTTTTTTTGCTGCCTGGCTGCTTTCTGCCTGGGGGTATCCTTTGTTGGGTGTTGTAAGCTGTCCCTGATTGTTTCTTGTCTGGAATCCCCCTGCTTTTTGAGTGTTGCTCTTTATTTACTGCCCTGATTTTAGAGTTAACACCAGCTAACACCTTCCAACAAAGGATTCCCCCAGGTAGGAAGCAGCCAGGCTTTGAAGCTGCAAGGCCATTAAATCAAGGTGGCCATTTGCAACATTCACACTTGCCTAAAGCAGACAAAAGTTCTTTCTTCCACCCTGGACATTCCACAGATATATACACCTCACATGCCTAGTTTCCAACAGATCCCTCAACCTCTGAGGATGCCTCTCATAGATGTGGGTGAAATGTCAGGACAGAATACTTCTGGAACATGGTCATACAGCCCAGAAAACTCACAGCAACCCAGTGATTCCAACCATGAAAGCCTTCAACAACTATAAAAAATATTCAAGAAACCAAAGGTGACCAATGTAAAAAGAAATCAATTCGCCAAGAAGTGTTTCGAGGAAGACTGCTTCTCACAGGCAGAACCTTTGCAACTCTAAAATTAAGGAAATTTACATTGCAATTTTATCTGTTGCCTCTGTTTTAGAAATGAAGCACTTCTCTTTTTTTACTCACTGCAATTTAGTCATTTATAACACTACAAATCTAAACAGTTTTAATACTTTCCCATCTTCTTCTAATAGGATCTACATTTCAATAGGGTGGGGCCGAGCAAATCTACAGCCATAGTGCTCAGCCCTTGAGCACAAACAACAGTTTCTAGAATTCTTGGAGAAAGGCCTTTTTTTGTGTCAGGAGTAACTTGAGAAATTGCAAGTTGTTTCTGGTACGAGAAAATTGGCCGTCTGCAAGGATGTTACCCAAGGGCACCTGGATGTTTTATCATCCTGTGGGAGGCTTCTCTCATGTCCCTGCATGAGAAGCTGGAGCTGACAGACAGGAGCTCACCCCAGTCCCCGGATTTGAACCTCCTACCTTTCAGCCCGCAGTCCCATTGCGCCACCAGGGGTTTCCGGAGAAAAGCCATAATTGTCCCATACACACACACACCCACACACACACATACTTTATGCATTCTCTTTTGGTTTTAAAGTCATTGTCATACATTTAAAATGCATATATACCTTTCCTTCTTAATTTCCATTTCTAATGTTCTGTTCTTTCCTGTTTTTAGGTCATGGGGACTATGCGTACCAGCAGTCATCCTATTCCGAACAAAGCTATGACAGAACATTTGATGATTCCACACAGCACTACTATGAAGGCGGTAAGGAGACAGGGCAGAAGGTTTTCTCAAATGGGGGCAAAATCAGTGTATTTACCTCCCAGTTACTTATTCTCCAGATGATAGTACTTCCTTCCAATGTCTATTGACTTTATCATATTTTCAACATGTACATCACCCACTCTGGGCATTTAAAATAAAATATGGAATTTGTTGATGTTGTTATTTGCTGCCAAATTGAGTTCAACCTTCGACAACAATATGAACGAGAGACCTCCAAGATCTTCTGCCATCAACTGCCCTGCTTGGATGTTGCAAAGTCAAGATTGCGGCTTCCTTGATCAAACTGACGCATCCTTTTTCTAAAAAATAATGTTTATTGATTGAGAATTTGATTTGATTAAGAATTTCAGCTTGACTTTTTCTAGGGCTCATTCATTTGTACTTTTAGCAGCCTGCAGTGACTATAGGTCTCTCTCCTCTATCACCATATTTGAAAATGTGTAGATTTTCTTCCTGTTAGTTCTCTTCACTGTTTACCTTTTAGAACAATAGATAGAATAGAAAGATGCAGAATACCCTCCCTGGGAGCTGCATTACTGTTATTCTGACAACAAGTGGAAACCTGGTTGTTTACAAAAACATTTGGTGCCCAACTTATTTTATACAGATCCACATGTCTACGGTTTTGAATGAAGAAATCATTTTATTGTTTACTTTGTTTTAAGCTGGTTGTGTTGATTTTATTATATGCTACTTGAGATCTTTAAAGGAAGAGCAGGATATAAATATTTAATAATAATTTAGAATTAAAATCTAGTATGGGATAAATTGAATAAATGAGATAAACCCAGCAGAAATATACTATTAACATCAACTAAAGAGGCACTAGTGACCATAAAAGGTATTGAAAACAATTGTCAGTCTATTGCTGTTGTACAACACATTGGCGAAATCTAAGCAAGCGGTTATGAGAGCATGGAGCTCCAGAATGTGAACCGGTGATATGCTGGAAAAAGTTGCTATTTCTTTAGTTGCAAGCCTCCACTAGTTATTTGTTGTGTATATAATTCTGATTGCTTACTGTATTGTATGTGTATGTATGGATTTGCAGTTTTTCTTTAACTCTTTGTTGTGGGAGGGGCTGCAGACCATGTGTTCAGGTCTGGGCTTGTTCAGGACTCAGACTCTATTTTAGAAACGGTTTGCTTTCACACGTCAGCAGAAACAGTATGCTTTAGACTTCAATGTAGGAACAGTATGCTTAGAGACTATTAGACTTTCAGACTAGACAGAGACTCTTATTAGACTCTCAGAACAGAGAGATGCTTTGGACTTTGGACTCTTGATTATAAGAAAGATGCCCTGTGTTACCTACAGAGAGAAACTACTTCAAATCTATTTGTAACTTTGTACTTTGTAAGCAAAGTACTTATATGCTGAATACACGAAGTTTGTGAGTAAACTAACTGTGTTACTTTTAAAGAAGTCTACTTATTTTTGTTTCTTGAGATCATGATTTAAAGGCAAATATATTTTAAGGGAGAGTAGATGTTTCTGGGCAACTAAAATGGAGACTTCTGAAATTCTGCTGTATATATAAATGTGTTTTTGTGCATTGGCATATCTATGTCCCTAACAGTTCAAAAACATGCCTAGGCACATCAATTTAATAGCCGAGAAACCTAACTGCCTTGCATGAATGTCATTTCCCCAGAAGGTTATGGCACCATTTTTAAAAGATTGTGCCTTCTTACAAGGCCATGCCTTTCCAAAGATTATAAAATCTCCAAAAGGTTATTGAGATTTCCATTTTCCCAAAATGATACGTGGATCTGTCATTTTGATTAACAATCAAATAATGTCATTCCTTTAAGAGAGAAAAAATGGGATGAGGATGATGATGATGGTGGTGGTGGTGGTGGTGGCCATTATGATTTTCTCTCCCTAGGGAATTCCCAATACACTCAGCAGCAAGCGGGATACCAACAGGGAGCTGCCCAGCAGCAGACCTATTCACAGCAGCAATACCCAAATCAACAGAGCTACCCAGGACAACAGCAAGGATATGGTGAGAAAACTTGTACTGTCATGTTTTGCTGTGTTGATAATCTGCACATAATTGTGGATCCATTTTATTTTGTGAAAACAATTTACTTGGGCAACATCTATCATCATTGAAGTAGGGTGTCATCAGTGTGTTTTGTGGTCTTTGTTTCTCATGGTTCTGCCTAAATATTGTCATTTTCCCAGGTCCTGCCCAAGGAGCTTCATCACAATATTCCAGTTACCAACAGGGCCAGGGGCAACAGTATGGGAGTTACAGAGCTTCTCAGACAGGACCATCTGCACAGCAACAGAGGCCTTATGGCTATGAGCAGGTGAGCTGGAAAGACGCCTGATCCCCTAAAAAGATGGAAGTGGAGTGCAAGAGGTAGACCTCAAGTGACCCCAAAAGCCTGTTTTGCATCTCCTCACATTCCTATTTTAAAGAGCAGATTCAAAGATCATCCCGAGTATTCCAAAGAACCCCACATGCCCACAGAAAATATTAGTGTATGTACATCCGAGAAAACTTGCATTTTGGTACACAGAGAGGTGGATACAGCTGTCTACAGAAGGAGGGACCAAGGCAATTGGTCTTGAACTGTTGCCCACCCCTGCCTTACAAGTACCACATCTCTTTGATTCTATGATCCCATCAATTGTAAGATGTTTATATGGGAGGGAAAGTGTGTTTTAGAGTTGAAGACATATGATATAAAATACTTGTGATGGTGATTCCCCACAGAGCAGTTTCTTCCTTTCCCCTTCCCCTTCCCCTTTCTCCCTTCTCCAGCTCTGAGAAGGCCTACCTCACAATGTCTCCATTGCAACACTGGCAATGGTAGGCAGGCTGTCTTTGTGGCCCTTTCCTTCCTTCCTCCCTTCCCCTCGTACACATGTCCCCTTTCTTTCCCAGTGACATCATAGAGAGCCACTTCACCTAGCAACTATCTTTGTGGTACAAACAAACATACCATATAAACGCGAGTATAAGCTGAGTTTTTCAGCCTTTTTAAGGCCGAAAAGGGCCCTCTTGGCTTATACTCAAGTCAAGGTTATTTATTATTTTACTCTGTTATTATTATTTTTATTACATTTATTATTTTACACTATTTATTATTATTTATTATTTTATTCTATTATTGTTATTATTACATTTATATTATTTTACTCTATTATTATTTTGTTACATTTATTATTTTACTTTATTATTGTTATTATAAATTATTATTTTACTCTATTTATTATTGTCATTATTACATCTCCATTATTTTACTCTATTATTATTTTTGTTACATTTATTATTTTACTCTCTTCATTATTATTGGAAGGATACATAAGTACATTTGCATCAAAGAAGGTTAGAATAATGGTTTGATCAGAGTTGGACAGTATTATCTTAAATTACAGTTTTATGTAAATATTCGAAAACATTTAACCTACTGATGCCTCAATTAATGTAATTTTATTGGTATCTATTTTTATTTTGAAATTGCTTCACTTCCCACCCTCAGCTTACACTTAAGTCAATATGTTTTCCTAGTTTTTTGTGGTAAAACTAGGTGCCACAGCTTATATTTGGGTCGCCTTATACTCAAGTATATACGGGTACATATTTTGATGTTTATAGAAAGAGAAAGATGAACCCAGAGGTAGAAATGGATTGGATTGCAACTTTTACAATCATCATTTCGTTTCTTCCTGGATCCCTTGATGGAGAAGACCAGGATAAAGCTTATATGCAAAATTAATGTAGCTGGAATGATAATATGCAGAGGATTAGAATAAAAGCTAATGCTGCCTAGGGTAGGCTAATCAATTCAGTGTAATTTACATAGGTGTGACCTCACCAATTCAGCTGTTGATTCAGTGGATCTCTTCTAATTGAACAATTGAGTTTAACTCCTGTATATTTGAAAAAAAGGATTGTATTTATTCTCTCCCCCCCCCTCTCTCTCAATGTTTCTTAACAGGGCCAGTACGGAAACTATCAGCAATAAAAGGAGGAGCACCTGTGTCAAAATTTGTTTCAATATTTATGTCCGTCTTTCAACCCTGGATGTACGGACATTTTTTAAAATTCACTGTAATATGTTGGTTCCCCCATTAGCACAAAAGGAGCATCGGTATGTGAAATAGTATTCATTTCATGCTGGATATGAAGCAGAGCACTACTGGTAACAAGGCAATGCTTTGATGGTTTGGTATATTTTGGTGCTGTGTATAGTTATTGTATGTTGATACAATGCAGAGATTCTTCCTTCTTTACCCACAAACCCTTTTGATGTTTTAAACTAGTTTTAGAGGTTGCCTGATGGATCAGAGTTCTGTGTACCCAATCCCCCCCTTTGAAAACGACAATATTCCAAAACACATCTAATGTGTAATTCAGTTTGTCTCCATTCTCTAGTCACATAGGTAAAGTAACACTGGTTTCTAATACGAAATACCAGCTCAGCTGCCTTGTAATTTCTTTTGTGTGTACTCCCCCCTGAAACCCATAAATCTTAATTGGTCCAGAGTAGGATAGGTTTATTTTGTTTGTTTACCTGTAACTCATTCCTTTTTCAAATTGCACATAATGAAATGGATGGATGTAAATTTGATTTGTCACATCCCTTTATCGTGCAGCAGTAATTTTATGCAGCAGTGATTAGGCCTTTCCTAAACTGCATGCCTTCCCTCTGGTTATTTCCTGCTGCCAGATAATTAACATGGGAAGTGACCTTGTTATGCCCATATATCTACATGTCCCATAATAGGTCAATACCAAAGAAGCATTGAATTGTGGCACATTCCATTTTAGAGAGCCCGGAAATGTCATAGTGGGTTTAGCCTGGGTACGGATAAGGGATATTGACATTGGTAAGGGGAAATGCTAATTTATTTTGTTTCCTGTAATGCTCATGGAAGCAAGTACCTGCTGTGGTTGGAGACACCCCCCCCCCCCACCTCCGATGTACATATTTTATATGCAACTATACATTTCTACAGAAACAGAAACTAGGATTAGTTTTAGCCAGTGTGTAGCTACAGAGTGGCAATGGTCTTAGCCAAATTAGAGCATTGCTCCTCCCCTTTTCCTCTAGTTTTCCATGACTGTGGATTTCAGAAGTCAGGTCAAGTTCAAGGGAAGCTTGAATCACAATCCAGATTGCTCCAAAAGCAATTGTGCAACTTCCTCAAGCATCTGGTTAATTGTCCAGTCATATTCTTAAAAGTTCTTCCACTTCAGATTTTGCAGCTACAAACAAAATAGAAGCAGCACATCTCTGCTCCTATCGTTCTTCCGTGCTGTTGCAGCTATAGCAGTTCTGAAATCGTTTCTGTACTTCCAATAACCAGAACTAACTGTGGACTGTTTCTTTGTGTTTCATGGAGTGGAGCCCTCCCAAAAAGAGCCTGAGAGGGAGAGTAAGATTTTTGTGTGTGTGTGAGTCAGGAGCAACTTGAGAAACTGCAAGTCGCTTCTGGTGTGAGAAAATTGGCCGTCTGCAAGGACGTTGCCCAGGGCATGCATGGATATTTTACCATCCTGTGGGAGGCTTCTCTCATGGCCCCACCTGAGAAGCTGGAGCTGACAGATAGGAGCTCACCCCGCTCCCTGGATTCAAACTACCGACCTTTTGGTCAGCAGTCCTGCCAGCACATTGCGCCATCAGGGGTCCTAGCTTAAAGAAATGCAAGAATAGTGGTATTGTAAATTCACTGTTGCTATAAATTGGAGCACCTAGTTCACAAGGGGTCTCCTGATGGCACAGAATTGCTGTGACAATATATGAACATCACAGGCATCTGGCCCACAACAGGGAGCAGAGGAGGAAAGGGAGTCGGACCCTGTGACGGATTCCTTCTCCTAGATAAGCCTTGTAGTTTCCCATTTGCTCCCTCCCTGGATTACATACTTGGAACTCATGTAATGCTCTACATGTGGACCAATAGCTGTGTTCATTGGTGGGCTCATTGTGCTAAGTTTGACCTGGTTCTTACTCAGGGTTGATAAATACAGCCAGTTTTTTAAGACACAACGTAAGACATCAGCTGCTGAATTTCCTGTTCACTCACAGCTTCCCAAAACCAGAGTCACTAGTCCGCACTGACTGACTACCCTGTCTCTGTTACAGTCCTTCCTGCCTCCTATCTATCAGCATTTCCTTATCTGGGCATCATACAGAGACGTGAGTCTGGTTTTTATTTGGCAGTTCTTCCTTGAGCTATGATCGGCTCCCTTCATCTCCTTCACAGGATGCATCTACACTGTAGAATTAATACAGTTTGACACCACTTTAACTATTACGACTCAGTACTGTGGAATCATGGGAACCATAGTTTTACAAGGTCCTTGGCCTTCTCTGTCAAAGAGTTTGATTGCCTCGCCAAAGTACAACTCCCAGGATTCTACAGTGTTGTATCATGGCAGTGAAAGAGGTGTCGTTGTTGTTCATTCGTTCAGTCGTCTCCGACTCTTCGTGACCTCATGGACCAGCCCACGCCAGAGCTCCCTGTCGGCCGTTACCACCCCCAGCTCCCTCAAGGTCAGTCCAGTCACTTCAAGGATGCGAAGAGGTGTCAAACTGTGTTAATTCTATGGTGTAGATGCCTCATTCAACACCAATCATCCACCACCATCTCTGGATGGAGGTTGCTAACGTCGTTTATAGCCATTCTCATAGCCTTGGTGCTATCTCACATGAACTAAAATTCATGTAACCCCCCCCCCCCCCAATGCACATTCATGGTAAAATGGATATATCGTATACAGAAGCCCATTCAACAGAGCTTGCATACCACAACATTCATAACAGATAAGATAAAAATAGGTCCGTGTTACCAACTGCAAACAGAGGCCATCCTTCACTTGCAAAGCAGCAGCTTTGATAAGGGGCACAAAAGTTAAATGTAGCTATAATTAATGTGTTGCAAAACAACTTTACAGATTACATAACAGTGTTGATATTATTAGCCATTTGTTACCCTCTGGGATGATGGTTCTCACTTTTGGATGAAAGGTGGGATATAAATAAGTGATGGATGAATGTTGCCTGTACATTTTATGTGATGATATTGTATATTTATTATTGTTATTGTTGTTATTATTATTATTATTATTTTAACTGTGAATGAAAAAAAAGAAGATGATATGGAATCTGAAGATGTTTGTATATTAGTTTTACCACAATATTGTTATTCTATTCCTGATTGTGGGCTCATTCAGAAGGGAAAAAAATGTCTTTGGAAATACAAGAAATTTCCAGTTCCTTGTTTTGATTTTAGCTGTATATTCCCAGGTTTCCATCAATCCCCCATGCTTTCCTTTCCCCCCTCCAACCAATTATGTGTTACATCTAGACTTCTGCAATATTTCCGATATTGTTGTTTACCGGTTTCCAATCCCCCTTCTATATGATTATTATTCAGGTATTATGGTCAGAGTTCTAAGGTACTCTATCGATAGTACTCTAGTTAAGGATTTGGATCATTTTGTTTTGGTGCAAAACATACTGTTATGATGATTCTGTGTCCTGGAAACAATAACTTGATGGTGACAATTTTAGGTAGCCATCTTTATTGTTGGTGACTGTCTTAGGGCCCTTCCACACAGCCATATAACCCAGAATATCAAGGCAGAAAATCCCACAATATCTGCTTTGAACTGGAATATATGGCAGTGTGGACTCACATAACCTAGTTCAAAGTAGATATTGTGGGATTTTCTGCCTTGATATTCTGGGTTATATGGCTGTGTGGATGGGTTCTGAAATAATACAAATAGACAGCCACTTCATTTCAGAAAATGCTGAATTAATTTGCAATGGATCTGGGAAGTAGGAATACAAAATTCCCTGGAAATACTTTGGGATGAAGAAAACACCTTGATATCCAAAATAGAATTGGTTTTGTACAGGAACAAATCCTGGAACTTTGAGAGACTTTTCTTCTCATCTGGAGGACTTCTAAGTTTACAGTCTTATAAGAACTGAATGTTCAGTTTATAATCTGCACTGTATATTGTTTGCAACCTGTGCTTATTTGGCTTCTGTTTCTGCTAAATCCCCTTTTTTCTAAGTGTGTATTTGGAGTTGTTTTTTTCTTTCTTTTCTTATAATCCTGCTCTTAAAGAATCTTGATAAGTCAGAGGCAATTTCACTTTCTGGTTTCTTGTCTCTCTGCCCAAAACCCAAGCCCTTTCCCCACATTGCCTAGCCCTATACACTGCTCAGCTCTGAAAGTAAGCCCAGGCTGGCTATCTTACGAAGGAGAAACAAATATATTAAGCAAAGATAATTTTATATCGAATATTTATTTATTGTTTTGACTTTTTAAGTTTGGCAAGGTGCCGACAGCTTGTCTGTCATTCAATTTTTGGACCAAATAATTTAATATTTTTTTCCAATTCAGTAGTTGAAGGGTTTCTTAAATTAAGATGAATGTGAACATTGTCTAGTAGTAAGTGTTTTACCCATCTATATGATACTGTGGCCAAAGTTACATAGTGCCATGCATCCAGTATGGAGAGATCCGTGCGATTTATGCAAGCTTTCTGCTGCAGGCTACATCGTTTGCCTCTAGTACTGAAAGCTTTTATCCCCCTATTACAGCAGATAACATCCAAAAACCTGTTTCCACAACAGACCTATAAGTGGAAGAAGGATGTAGAGTTCATGGTACTCCTTAAGGAATATTTTCAAAATACCACTTTTCAAACTTCAAAGAATTTGATTTTCATGTTGAAGTACCACCTTCTAAAATCTCTAGACCGCCAGAAGAATTAAAACAACAACAACGAGCCTAAGAGTGTAAATGTGAGATGTTCTAGGTTGGAAACCATCCAGTGTTAGAGACTTGTCTACAGATTAGAGTAGTGATGGCATTGGGTTGCTGTTGAGTTTTCCAGGCTGTATGGCCATGTTCCAGTAATAATAATAATAATAACTTTATTTGTACCCTGCTACCATCTCCCCAAGGGACTCGGTGCAGCTTACATGAGGCCAAGCCCGCAGCACACCAATAAACAAAAGCGATAACAAATAATCAATACAAAACAGTTAAAAACTCAAAAACAAAAATACACAACAAGCAATAAGCAATAACAATAACGTACAGCATTTGAAAACCTATGGCTGGGCCAAATGTAAAATTAAAATTAAAATTTAAAATGCTGGGCATAAACAAGGTAGGGTAAACTAGGATAGGGTTTTCAAAGAAAGATAAGCGGAGTCTCAATGAAAACCTTTATTTAAGAATTATCCTACTATTCTTAGAATATATTCAAAACTGTTTGCAAACAGTGATGGAAAAAAGCAAAACTGTTTTTATGATAATAACAAATAATAAAATCTTCAGCATGATACCACAAGTGTGTGCTGTTTGTAGAAACTGAAAGGCAACAGAGTCCTCCCAAAACAAAAAGTATCCTAGTATAATGTGTTGTCGAAGGCTTTCATGGCATACTATCCTAGTATAGCTGCTCATTAAGTGGAATATTTTTTTCTTAGTCTTCATTTTTGTCTTTCTTTTCCTAAATCCTCCAATGTGTTAGCCTGGATCCTATCCCCAACTCCAGCTATATGTAGCATTATGGTTGGGTGGCTCTTGATCCTTCTGATGTATCCGCAGAAGGATTCTATCTAATTTGTATGCTATACAATATAATTGACAAATGTGTCTATGGAGAATATTTGAAAAGGCCTTTGGCAGGAATCCAGAAGCCCCTTGTATCCAATTCTCTCACCAACAACGAACGCAATGGATCTAGTTCTTTGTTGGTGACATTTCCACTGTGGGGTCAGTCTTCTTACTCCAATTCTTCTTACTCAGTACATTTACAAAGAATGAGAGAGAAAAAATGCACTCTGCATTGCTCCTTACCAGCTTTGACATTTGCTTCTCCTGTGTTTTTTTTTTAGCATTGTTGAAAATAATTTTTTGAAAGACCACAAGCATTTTAACAAGAACATCACTTCAGTTGGAAATGTCTTACATTAAGAATTTCTTGAATGTTGTACATATATATACACTGTATTTGAAAGAGCGCTTTGGAAATAGTTTGTACATTATTTCCTAATTTATACATGATTTTTAGTGTTAATATTTCTAACTGTTAATAACGGATATTTAAATGTGTTGTCCATATTTATGTATTGATGTGGAAACGAGAAAAAAAAGGTGATGCCAGCATTTTGACTTTTTTCATTACCTGTACCATATTTTCTGTTTTGTAATACAGAATGTTTAAACATGTTTTAGGTTAAAATGAACTGATTGTGAAGCCAAGTAATGGTATCTTTTTTCGTATGATGGAAAGACTTTTAAAAGGACTGGTGTAATCATGTTTGAAGTCTGTTTTTCTTAATTTAATTGCCGGTTGAGTGAAAATGATGCATCAGTCACACGCCATTTATAATCTGAAAATATTTCCAGTAAAGATAATTGCATGAGAAAACAAAATTGCTCATCTCAGTTTTCAAAATGTCAAATCGTCTTCGAATTTCAAAATCAAGTACATAATAGTCCCACTGTATTCTGTTAGGCCTCACTGAGTATTGTGTTCAGTGACACAATAGATATAGACAATTTGAATGAATGAATGATTTATTGTACCATCCATAGGCGATGGCATCAAATAATATACAACCTTTAAAAGTACAATAAGCACTTTCCAATATAAACATTAAAACTTATTCCATATACTGGCTCTTTAAAATTATATGTAGCAGCAGTGACATAATAATAACAAATGTCTGATACGTATTATTCCAGGCTTTCTCCATTTCTACTTCTAGCCTCTGCTGTGGACTTTACTAATTTAGCTCGGATTTTTTGGGCCACGACTGCAAATGTGGCAACCTTTAATGTTTTGGAATAATCCGCTAACAAGTCACAGACTTCCAACAGGGCACCCAGAAGATTGTTTCTAGGGTCATTACGCAAAAGGGCAATGTAACAGATAACGTATTAAATCCTCTCTTTCCCCAGACCCAGAAATACAAAGTTGTTGGGCATGAGAGATCCCTCTATATCAAGTCAAGTCAAGTTTATTCAATGCATATACCATAGGTTGATCCCATTTAAGGCAAATAAATAAATACCTGAAAACCAGATTATTAAATGTAACATAAAATACACCATTAAAATCCTAAAAATCATTAAAATGTTACATATATCAGTGGTGAGATGCACCCTTAAAATACTACATACTGCATGGACTAGCACCTGCATAATTAAAAACCAGGTAAAACCAAATAGGTACCGCATTATTAAACTATATAAAGAGCCACTAATCAAGGTGAAAGAAGAAAGCACAAAACCTGGGTTGGAGCTAAACATAAAAAAACCCCCCAAAGATTATAGCAACAAGTATGATTGACAACTGGGGAATAGAAGGAGAAAACATGGAGGCAGTGACAGACTTTGTATTTCTAGGTGCAAAAATTATTGCAGATGCAGACTGCAGCCAGGAAATCAGGAGACGCTTCCTTCTTGGGAGGAGAGCAATGTTCAGTCTCGATAAAATAGTGAAGAGTAGAGACATCGCACTGGCAACGAAGATCCGCACAGTAAAAGCAATGGTATTCCCCATAGTCACCTACGGATGTGAGAGCTGGACCTTAGGGAAGGCCGAGTGAAGGAAGAGAGATGCTTTTGAACTGTAGTGCTGGAGGAAAGTTCTGAGAGTGCCTTGGACTGTGAGAAGATCCAACCAATCCATACTTCAGAAAATAAAGCCCGACTGCTCATTGGAGGGAAGGATAGTAGAGGCAAAGATGAAGTACTTTGGCCACATCATGAGAAGAAAGGAAAGCTTAGAGAAGACGATGCTGGGGAAAATGGAGGGAAAAAGGAAGAGGGGCCGACCAAGGGCAAGATGGATGGATGGCATCTTTGAAGTGACTGGATTGATCTCGAAGGAGCTGGGGGAGGTGATAGCCGACAGGGAGCTCTGCCGTGGGCTGGTCCATGAGGTTACGAAGAACCAGAAACGACTGAATGAATGAACATCAAATTGGTTAAAATCATTCCTCTCTATCTTCCCTTTAGCCAGCTTGATATAGACAATTTGGAACATGCTCATAGAAGGGTAATAAGTACGATATGGGGATGGAGAACAAACATATGAGGAAAAGTTGAAGGATTTGGGCACGTTCATCTCGATGAAGAAAAAGGGTGTGGAGTGACATGGCTGAACTTTTGAAATACTTGAAAGATTATCACAGAAAGTGTAGATATATTCTTTGCTGCCCCAGGTGGAAAAATTAGGTTCAATGGTTTTAAGTTACCGGAGAGTACATTTCAGTTGAGTATCAGAAGGAAGCTCTTGGTAGTAAGAGTGGTTTGGCAATGGAACAAATTACCTAGAGAAGTCATTCCTCCTCCCCAGAGCATCTCATAACAGTGGTACAGATTAGGTTTGATTCAGTTTCATTTTTGTCACTTCTGGTTTGGATTCAACTTTTGGTTTTTGTCAGTTTCTTTTTCCTATGGGAAAGAAGCTGGGGACCATGAGCAATTAAAGCTAAGTCGCAGTGGTTTCGTTCCATTTGTGGCAGTTTGATGGCCATTCGGGAATGAAAGGTTGGAACATATGGAGGTTTTAGAAATGTCATGGGAGCTGTTGTCATTGTTGTTAGGCATCTTCAGGTTGACTCCTGAGTTATGACAGAGGATTTCCTTGGCAAGATTTCTTCAGAGGATGTATGACTTTGTTTTTACTGAGGCTGAGAAGTCTGTGATTTGCTCATTTAGTGAATTTTCACAGATTTGAATCCTGGTTTCCCAGAGTTCTGGTTAGAGTTAGACCATTACACTGCACAGGTTTTCTCTCTTGGGAATTTGAGGGACACAAAGTAAGGATTTGGAGACCACACGTTGCCCAGAAATTACACTTTGCCCACCTTTGTTCTAAGTGCCATTTAGGTATACGCAGAGATCCATACCTGGCAGCCTGAGAGATGGACCTTCACGTGTTGAAGACAAAGCTCTTTGGTGATCTCTTTAGGTTAATTGAACATTACTCCAAACGACAGAAGACAGGAAGAAGCGGGGAAAGGATGCAGATGAAGATGGACAGGCAGGGAATGAAAGGATACGGTTTCCTTCACTTTCTTTCATGTGATGAGATCATAGAATCATAGAGTTGGAAGATACCACATGGACCATCTAGTCCAACCCCCTGCCATGCTGGAAAAGCACAATCAAAATATTCCTGACAGATGACCATCCAGCCTCTGTTTAAAAGCTTCTGAGGAAGGAGCTTCCACCATACTCCAAGGCAGAGAGTTCCACTGTTGAACAGCTCTTACAGTCGGGAAGTTCTTTCTAATGTTCAAGTGGAATCTTCTTTCCTGTAATTTGAACCCATTGGTCCAAATCCCAATTTCGAGGGCAGCAGAAAACAAGCCTACTCCCTCTTCCTTATGACACTTCACATATTTATACATGGTGAGCATGCCTCCTCTCAACCTTCTCTTCTGCATGCTAAACATACCCATCTCTTTAAAGCCACTCCTAATAAAAACCTTTCATTTTATAGGAATAAAAAATCCATGATTTAGTTGCTTACTTCACATAGACTCATAGGTTTCTCACTATGTTTTCACAATGCACCTGCAACACACAGTTTCAAAAGCTCAGCTTCAGCAGGCGATTTTGCTTTGAGTAGGGCGCTGGCTGGATCTATATTGCCAAATGTATTAGTTTCCTATGTACTTTATACATGAGGTCATTCTAAAAACAATATTTGTAATAATTCTTTGCATGAAACAAAATCCCCAAAAAGCAAAGGTATCAGTATCTTACTGTCATGTGGACAGTTTCAGATCTTAGAATATTTTGGATTTCGGAATTTTGGAAATGGGATGCTCAACCTGTTAATTTCTAATGAAATCCCTGCTCCTGTTATTTCCAATTTTGTGGAAATACAAAATGTGTCCAGTTTGTAAAAAAGTACATCTTGGCCTGTTGTAGCAATTTTTTAAGCCAGGGATAATAATAATAATAATAATAATAAAAATCTAGTACAGAGTGCTGCAGGCTGAGTCATATTTTTGCCTGTGTGTTTTTAGAATTTTTTTTGCATTAATATTACTTCTTCAGATACAGTGAGATTAAAAGCCTCAAATGATTAAGCATATAGTATATCTTTAATTGTGGGATTGGGACCTGAATGTATTAGGATCCAGAAAAAAAATATTTATATCCCGCTTTATCTCTCCAGAGGGAGATTCAAAGCAGCTCACAATCAAAAACATTACAACAAAATACACAAATATATAACAATAAAACAGAATATCATTATATGTTGTTGTTGTTTATTCGTTCAGTCACTTCCGACTCTTTGTGACCTCACAGACCAGCCCATATAATATATTATATAATAATATATATTATCTTTAGTATTATATTTAATAAATTAGTATTATTATATTACCATATTATTACATAATATTATTACTATATTGTATTACATTATAATATTAATATGTCTAAATACAATATATTATTTGCATAGCACAATAGTATATATTATATTGTACTATACCACTATACTGTAATATTATTCGTAATGTAATATGCAATATATAACATACAATCATTATTATATTATTATATATTATATTGTACGAGAGGAGGGTTTTTTTTTGGTTGTGTCAGGAGCGACTTGAGAAACTGCAAGTTGTTTCTGGTGTGAGAGAATTGGCCGTCTGCAAGGACATTGCCCAGGGGACGCCGGGATGATTTGATGTTGGCTTCTCTCATGTCCCCGCATGAGGAGCTGGAGCTAATAGAGGGAGCTCATCCACCTCTCCCCGGATTCAAACCTGTGACCTGTCGGTCTTCAGTCCTGCCAGCATAGGGGTTTAACCCACTGCGCCACTGGGGGCTCCACAAGAGGAGGGTGACTAAAATGATCAAGGGTCTGGAGAACAAGCCCTATGAGGAGCGGCTTAAGGAGCTGGGCATGTTTAGCCTGAAGAAGAGAAGGCTGACAGGAGATTGATAGCCATGTATAAATATGTGAGAGGAAGCCACAGGGAGGAGGGAGCAAGCTTGTTTTCTGCTTCCCTGGAGACTAGGACGCGGAACAATGGCTTCAAACTACAAGAGAGGAGATTCCATCTGAACACAAGGAAGAACTTCCTGACTGTGAGAGCCATTCAGCAGTGGAACTCTCTGCCCCGGAGTGTGGTGGAGGCTCCTTCTTTGGAAGCTTTTAAACAGAGGCTGGATGGCCATCTGTCAGGGGTGATTTGAATGCAATATTCCTGCTTCTTGGCAGAATGGGGTTGGACTGGATGGCCCATGAGGTCTCTTCCAACTCTTTGATTCTATGATTCTATATTATTACACCACAATATATATAATACACTACCAGTATTATATATAATGTTTTTTCAGATCTTAGGGTGGTCAGTATTGGCAAGTGAAAGCATTTCCCCTTAACACTGCCTCATCCAGCGGTTTTAGACTACGACTCCCAGAAACCTCAACCAACGTGACAGATGGCCAAGAATTCTGGGAAATGAAGTTCAAAACATTTCAATCAGGAAAGAGACTTGAGCCTCCCAAGCTCCGCCTCTCCAAACATTTTGAACCAATGGGAACGCTGCTGCTCCTTCCTTTCCTTTCCTTTCCTCCAATCGCATTCAACTCATACCGCGCAGGTGTAGTTGCGCGGGAGCATCCAACCGCCTCCGCCTTTTTTTTTCCCCTCGAGGCGCGCATGCGCAACAAGCCTCCACACCCAGTGACGTCAGCCTCTCCATTCTATTTGCGGCTTTCGGCACTTCCTTCCTTTCCCTCCTCCTGTGGCGCGCAATTGTGACGTCAGGAGGCTTCCTGAAGCCTTCGAAAGGGCAAGGCCTGTCAGAAAATGGCCGCTGTGGGATGAAAAAGGTAAGATATCATTTCTTTCTATATATATTAAAAGGGAAAGGGCCTGAGGCTGTTAGGAATTGTGGGAGTTGAATAGGAGCCTAGTGTCTAGATCTAGGGAAGTCATGCTACCCCTCTATTCCGCTTTGGTTAGACCACACCTGGAATATTGTGTCCAATTCTGGGCACCACAATTCAAGAGAGATATTAACAAGCTGGAATGTGTCCAGAGGAGGGCGACTACAATGATCAAGGGTCTGGAGAACAAGCCCTATGAGGAGCGGCTTAAGGAGCTGGGCATGTTTCGCCTGAAGAAGAGAAGGCTGAGAGGAGATATGATAGCCATGTATAAATATGTGAGAGGAAGCCCTAAACGGTTCTGGCCCGACCTACCTGTCCGAACGCATCTCCTCCTATGAACCAGTTAGGACATTAAGATCGTCTGGGGAGGCCCTGCTCTCGGTCCCACCAGCTTCACAAGCACACCTGGCGGGGACGAGAGACAGGGCCTTCTCAGTGGTAGCCCCTCGGCTGTGGAACGCCCTTCCTACAGATATCAGATCGGCCCCTTCCCTATTGGCATTCCGGAGGAGAGTGAAGACCCGGCTCTTCGAACACGCATTCAAGCAAGCAGTGTGATTGAGTGTAACTGATTATTGGAACGCGGAATACTGGACAATAAAACTGGATTCTGATTTCATTGATGAGACGTGATGGATCTGTTATATTGATGTATTGATGTTTGCTGTCTAATTAATTGCTATGTTACTGTTTTTAAATGTCCAATGATCTGCTGTTGTGTATACTGAATTGTTTGAGTCGCCCTAGGGCTGAGAAGAGCGGTATACAAGTGAAGTAAATAAATAAATATGTCATAGGGAGGAGGGAGCAAGCTTGTTTTCTGCTTCCCTGGAGACTAGGACACGAAACAATGGCTTCAAACTACAAGAAAGGAGATTCCATCTGAACATGAGGAAAAACTTACTGACTGTGAGAGCAGTTCAGCAGTGCAACTCTGCTCCGGCGTGCGGTGGAGGCTCCTTCTCTGGAGGTTTTTAAACAGAGGCTAGTTAGCCATCTGTCAGGGGTGATTTGAATGCAATATTCCTGCTTCTTGGCAGAATGGGGTTGGACTGGATGGCCCATGAGGTTTCTTCCAACTCTTTGATTCTATGATTCTATATTATTACACCACAATATATATAATACACTACCAGTATTATATATAATGTTTTTTCAGATCTTAGGGTGCTCAGTATTGGCAAGTGAAAGCATTTCCCCTTAACACTGCCTCATCCAGCTTCCCTGGAGACTAGGACGTGGAACAATGGCTTCAAACTACAAGAAAGGAGATTCCATCTGAACATGAAGAAGAACTTCCTGACTCTGAGAGCCGTTCAGCAGTGGAACTCTCTGCCCTGGAGTGTGGTGGAGGCTTCTTCTTTGGAGGTTGTTATAAAGAGGCTCGATGGCCATCTGTCAGGGGTGCTTTGAATGCAATATTCCTGCTTCTTGGCAGAATGGGGTTGGACTGGATGGCCCATGAGGTCTCCTCCAACTCTATGATTCTATGAAAACACCTGGAAGGCCCAAGTGTACCCGTGCCGGACATATATAAAACACATCACTATTATAGGAGCCCCTGGTGGCGCAGTGGGTTAAACCCCTGTGCCGGCAAGACTGAAGACCGACAGGTTGCAGGTTCGAATTCGGGGAGAGTGTGGATAAACTCCCTCTGTCAGCTCCAGCTCCCCATTGCAGGGACATGAGAGAAGCCTCCCACAAGGATGGTAAAACATCAAAACATTTGAGCGTCCCCTGGGCAACCTCCTTGCAGATTCTCTCACACCAGAAGCGACTTGAAGTTTCTCAAGTTGCCCCTGACACACACCAAGAAAAGCATGAAATTTAACCCCGTCTTCCAGATCTTAAACTGCAGGAGGCATTCCCTTGAATAATGAGAAATGAGCAAACAGAGGTATGGACTGTGAAAATGTCTTACATGTTATTGATTTAGATATGTGATATTTTATATATATATGTGAGGCATTGAATTTGCCATTGATTATGTTGTAAACCGCTTTGAGTCCCCCCAGGGGTGAGAAAAGCAATATAGAAATATAGTTAATAAATAATAAATAAACATGCAGATGAGAGAATCCTCTCAGGTCCTTCTCATGCACAGGATTTTGGTAAAGGTCAGAGATAGCTTATCTACACAAGAAAAACTGCAACCATATTTTTAAGGGCTTCAGTGGAGCAACGCACCAGCATCTTTTTCTCTGAAACACTGCAGGCATCCTTATAATACAGGCATGGGCAAACTTTGGTCCTCCAGGTGTTTTGGACTTTAACTCCCACAATTCCTAACAGCCTCAGGCCCCTTCCTTTTCCCCTTCAGATGCTTAAAAAAAATCACACACCCACACACACACCTATATATATATACACCATATACACCATATACACATATACGTTCAGCAATTGACAAGAGGGATCCTCTCACTTCTGCAGGAGTCTACCGTGTACCATGCAGCTGTGGACAAGTCTACATAGGGACCACCAAACGCAGCACCCAAACACGAATCAAGGAACATCACAGACTACTTCAACCAGAGAAATCAGCCATAGCAGAGCACCTGATGAACCAACCTGGACACAGCATTTTATTTGAGAACACAGAAATGCTGGACCACTCTCACAACCATCATGTCAGACTACACAGAGAAGCCATTGAAATACACAAGCCTGTGGGCAATTTCAACAGAAAGGAGGAAACCATGAAAATGAACAAAATCTGGCTACCAGTATTAAAAAACCTCTAAAATTACAACAGCACAACAACAGAGAGGAAACAAACAAGGACATCTAATCACCTCTCAACAAAAGTTTGCTCTAGGCAATGTCAGGCCATTATATGCTAATCAAGGTGGTCAGTTGAAACATTCACACCTAGCTCCAGCAGACAAGAGTCCTTTGTCCCACCCTAGTCATTCCACAGATATATAAACCCATTTTTCCTAGTTCCAACAGACCTCACTACCTCTGAGGATGCTTGCCATAGATGCAGGCGAAACGTCAGGAGAGAATGCCTCTAGAACATGGCCATATAGCCCAAAAAACCCAACAACAACCCAGCTCAGATATCTCTATAAAAGTCACAATATAGAAGAATATGTCTGGCAGTTTCTACTTTTTCCACATGAGCATACTCGTTCCTGAAAACCTACCTTGCAGTAATGCTGATGGCAACACATTAAATATGGCCAGGTTGAAGGATCTTCTAAATTTGGAAATGTTAACTTTGATAAATAACTCACTGGGATAAGCAGTATCGTGTTGTTTTTAATTTCTAGGTGTCTATCCATTTTACTCAGATGCTTTTGCAGTTCCACATCCCAGGTATGGTGCTTAATTACGGATTTGACTTTGTCATATTGAGGTGTCATTAACACTTGAGGTGTAAACCCCATATATTGTATGTAATGGGACTTGAGCATCTTCAGGAAAAATGGTATCCCAGCAGATACCAAGGAATTACTATGTATATTGCCTTTCTGCCAATAAAGACTGCTTAACAGCATATTTAAGCAATATACATTAAAATAACACTGGCCCACACACATTTTGGTGCCTCAAATGTTAGAGGATATATCTAGGTATATCTGAGTTGCTAATTCCAAAAACATGGCTCCAGTTTTCCCCTGTCAGCTCTAGGTTTTGAGATACAGAGCATATGCCATCTAGCAGTCGCCATCTGATTGTCCATATAAAATAATGATAACCATATAAACTAGAGCTGATTCAGTGTATTCAATGCTATTCTCTGAATCAGTGCCCCAAATAACCCCAGAGACAGGAATAAAAACCAAAACACCAAGAATTTTGTTGTTGTTGTTGGGCTGTTATGATTATGTCAAAAATATACTTCTAAAATCATTAAGTTTAATCCTTGCAAGTGATTTAAACTGTGATTAAATTATTAAAACTGAGTCCTTCAGATTAGTGCCTTCAATAATGCTGAAACCAATTTAATTTAAATCAAATTAATCTTGTGAGATGTGCATACCCTTTATTCTTGTTTGCAAACATTTGTTTCTTGGATTCAAACCTTATCTCATAGGTATTCTATGAAACATAATGCACTACTAAATAATTTAGTACCCAAATCCGCTCCTTCTCAACAGGAAAACTACAGCTCTGTGTGAAGTGTTCATATGTTAGGGGAATCTGTGCTTGCTTTTAGATGATGTGTAGAATGGCTTTTACACCTCGTGCCGTGTTATAACTAACCCAGATTCATTTGGATTGGAACACACATGTCTATTAAAGCATCTAATAATGGTTTGTCTCTAAGGTGAGCAGGGGCAGACGGGAAGGAATTACTTCCCGAACCACGCTTGCTTCCTGAAGATGGGGCTGTTGTGTGAACATTCACATTGTTTCAGTTTTGTACAGTACCTCTCATTCTTTCTCAGAGAGAAACCCGAGTCTTGCAGTGTGCAGTAAGAAAAAGAACAGGCCCCATGTGCCACTCCATGTACCTTGTGGATCTGGTTCCTTTTCTTCTTCCCGTATCCTGGGAGTATCTGTTTCACCCAGACAAAGGAGAAACTTGGAGAAACAGAAATAGGCAGTACACAGGAAGAGGAAAGGGAGCAGGATCCATAGGGTAAATGTCATTGGAGGTATGTGCATGATTGTGTTTTCCTCCTCTTTCTGTGTGCTCTCTGTTTGTTTTGCCTGGGCCATCCCTTCCTTTACTCGGGTGAAACAGAGATTAGCAGCACATAGAGGAAAAGGTGCTAGTTCCTCCCCCTCTTCTTGTGTGCCACATATTTCTGTTTTTCCCTTGGTATAGTAAGGGAAGTTTGATGACTTCTAAGGCAGGCCAATACTGTGTAACCAATTCTGGAATAATTTAACTGAACCCTCAGAGGCCTTAGGAAAGCACTATATAAACTAGTTTTGCTTAAAATGTACTATGCTTTTCAGGTGATAATGCATGATCAAATAATGAAGACAAGTTTACCCCCCATCAAATAATGAGTGGCTCAACTTTCCTTTCCCTCTGAGCCTTGAAAATTAGGAGCCATCCTGATTTTTTTACCATCAGCCCTTAATGGGTTCTTTAGCCTGCTAAAAGGTACAGAATATTGTGGTCCTGACTTTTATATAAGAATGATATTTTTTTTTTCCATTTTGTGTCAGGAGTGGCTTGACAAACTGCAAGGTTTAAGCCATTGTGCCACCAGGGGCTCCTATAAGAATAAGATACATTACAGAAGTTTGAAGCAACTAAGAAGTTATTTCACAATCTGTTGAAGTCTGATTGTCCTAAACCCATATTGTCAACATGACAGTTTGATCTTGAGTAGGGTGACAAGGATAACCATTTGGATGAGATAGTTTATTGTGTGTATAGAATAGCAGGCTTGATTTGGGGGAATTCTAGAGTAACAAAAGCAATTGTGAGAATGAACCTATGAGGGCAGCAATTCATCAGAGTTGTTAAGTGTACTTGATTTTGTAGTTCATTTGCAACCACCGCAAATCAGAAATGGATGCAGCTGTGCTTGATTGGTCTTTGCACAAGTGCTCAATTTTGTTATAACCTTGTTTCTCTTGCTCTTAATAGCATGTGTCTTTTGTATGTCTGACTTATTTTACCCATTAATCACTTTTTCGCCCTTTCCTAGGCAGAGATGATGCGAATAACAATCAGAGCTTGGTTGGAAAGCCAGTGGATTTGGGCAGATTCACATCAACGGTGTTCACTTTTTCCACAGAAGGTTAAAAGCTGGCACAAGAATCTTAGCACAACCTGCTCAATATGTTCAAAGTCCAAAAGGCTGGAACGTAAAAGGAACCTTTCAGAAAAGAAGCTGGTAAAGTTTAAACAATTGATCAAATTAATTGCAAATGTAGGTTGAACATACCTGATCTGGAAATCCAAAAAGTTCCAAAACCCTCCTCCACCCAGCCACCTTCCTTCCCCCTCCTCCGACACATGTTACCAGGATCAAGGAAGGAAGGTCTCCCTCTTCCTTGTTGCTACAGCCACCAGCATCATTTCCTTCATCTCTGCCCCATTCTCATCATCATTGTGGTGGCATCCCATGAAGTCACATACCATTGTTGGTGAAAAGAGGATCTTCCTGCAAGAATGTTTGGTATCTTTAGTGCAGCAGAGTTCAGTGTAGCCTGTGTGTGTGTGTGTATGTATGTATGTATATTACCTTATGGTAGAAAACGGGAGAAAATACGCTGGATGCTCTGATAAAAACTTACTTTTATTATTGCATGTAATACAGCTCAGATAAAAGAGTAGATAGACAAATGAAAGTTACCTAACTTTGCTAGATCAGTCCCTAATTCTGACCCTCATGTCTCTGTGTAAGGCATCTTGAGGCAGAGAGAAACCTCGTGATGCTCCCTTCTCATCAAGACAGTAAAGCATACAGAAGACTTTTGAGAAGAAGGGTGGAAGTGACCTCTTCATGCAGGCAGGAAACAAAACACCTTGAGCTACATAGTTCTAAGAAATGGGAAAATCAGAGAGTAGGTGTGCACCACAGGGTTCCCTTTGTTCCCGATTGCTCTATATACAAGTGTTGATACTTCTGTGCTTTAAACACTTCCCACTCGCCTCACAATGGCACCCTGTTGGTGCCGGCAGCGGTGGCAATACAAAGTTACTTGGCTCCCTTGGTTGCTTTCCCACCAGGGCTCCCCCTTCGCTGCCACTACCTCCTACTTCTTGCCAGCAGGAGATGTGACACATGATGTCCTTTCAAATATTTAAACTTGGCTTATCATGCCCCATCTCAAGCTTTTCTAGTAAGAATTGGCTTATGTTTCAGAACAGCAGAGCACATGTTGACACCTGCTGGGGGGTGAAAGAAGCCATCTGGTAGCACAAGATATTTTTGTCCCATCTATGAGAGAAGAGGGACCTCTTATTGACCTTATTTGTTTATGTTCCAGAGACTGCTTTATAAAACCTTTTGGCAAGAATTCAACATTCAGGAAAGACAAGTGATTTGTTGTATTGTTTCAAAGTAATTTAGAGGAGCAGTTTGCAGCTGTAACCACTTGGTGATGCTATGTAAATTTTTAAAAGTTGTATTTCCTACATGGTGTCCTAGTTTATGCACACTGTTGGGCGTTTGCATTTTGTTCACACATTTAGCCTGTGTAATTTTCATGTTCAAAATGTGGATTTTTGTAGTAGTGTTTGTCTAACAGCTCTGTTTATTAGACAAAACCATTCAACTGTTTGAGTCTTGAAAACATTCTGGAGTTGTTTGTTAGTATAAAACTACATAATATTTTATATTGATGTTAAGATGCTAACCTTAACGAGTGCAGAGGACATAGCTAGTTTTAGTAATACGAAAACAGTCAAAAACACTGAAAGTAAAATAAAAAAAACTAATTAAATATAAACTCATGTAAGCTATTGCGACTTGGTATTTTCATGAAGAAGAAACAGACAATTATATATTTTTCATTAAGGGCTGATTATTGTTTTAATGTTACTTGACCTAGATGTGAAGCACCAGCGGGAAATGCCATAAAAGAGGATGGCATTTTTCCCAAGGACAAGTTTTCCCTTTTTTAAATAGAAGAAATGAGAAACCTTGAGGAAAACAGAAAGATGAAGTTTTACATTTGTTGTACTGCAATTAGTGAAGTACTTTTTATGACAAGATTTGCTTATTCCAGATTAGAGATGCAAGATATTTTAAAGATATGTAAAACAAAACCTATTATGTGGGGAAATATATAAATACTTTTAATCAACTTGAGCATGAAACAAAATGTGTACTTTGACCCACCAAAAAGCAAGTATGTCACTATCTCAGTTTTGGATTTTGGAGTATTTTGGATTTCGGAATTGCAGATAAGGGATAATCAACATGTATAGGCTGTATTCACAATTTTGCTTATATAAAACAAAGCTTTTCTGTATTTGCATTGATATGTCAAATTGCACAATTTTATTTGTTGACTAGATTATGAATGAAACATTTTATTTTGCTAAAGCAGTAATACAGTAATTAATACATTTTACATAGCTGGAGTTTTCCCTCCTCACAAAGGGAAGAATTATGGCTTTTTGCATGGCTTCAGAATTTTTGGAAATATCCATGGATAGATGAGATGACCATAGTTGTCCTTTCTCCCACTGTGACTTTGTTCTTGGTGTTAAAAAGTAGATCTAACCAGAGCCATATATGAAGCATGATTATCTTTCACATGGAGATTTAATTTAATAGTGTGTTTGATATTTTTTAATGTTTTGCTTCTTGGAGGTATTCAGAATAGTGTTTGTCCCATTTCAGTCTCGCTGCTTTGTTGATCATCGAAAGGTGCGACTGACAGCGGGCAAAGGAGGTGATGGCATTAGCTGTTTTCATAGTGAACCAAGAAAAATGTATGGTGGTCCAGATGGTGGAGATGGAGGAGATGGGGGACATATAATACTGAAAGGTAAGAGAGTTGTATATTTTAAAATTGTTCTGTATTTGTATACAATTGAACTATTTCCTGACTGTTTCCCAAACCCAAATTGGGGCTTGGGAACATAATTCATAAATGTGTATGTGTCCACGAATTCTTAAAAATACATGTTTGACACATGCCATCATGTGTACATCCCTACTGTTATAGTTATTTTCAACCCTTTTTCTGACTCCATACTTTCTCCAGATACATAAGGTTTACATTGCTTGTGCATCTCACTTGTGTTGTTCATCACAGTGACTTATTTGGTACACAAAGCCTCTCTTTTGAGATAGCATTCAGGAGAACATGATTCAGAAACAAAGCATATAATTATCTATAGAATTCATAGAGGGGAGTAGCAGCGTTTTATTCAATGCTGCTTATCTCCCAAAAACTCTCTTTATCTCCCTTCCAGTTCACAGAGAGACAGCGAGTGTGCAAAGCATCACAGTACAGAGGAGACAGTTCACCTAAATGACAGCTTGAGTCAATTTGATTTCTATTGTTTGCATTTGCCATGGGCATATAGACACTAGATGGTGGATGCAAGATTTCCCTAAATTGCTTTTATATGTGGCAGTGTGTAACGCTGTCTCTCCTGAAAGCAAACACTAGCTTTATCACATCTTACATTATGCTTCTAGAATACATTCCATTATTTTGATGAGGAAGTGCCATAGGAACCTGAGTAGAATTGAATATAATAATAATCAATATTGAAGATACTTTTCAAATGAAAACATCCCCAGATGTTTCAGCATCTGGGGAAAGAATTGTGGGGGGAAAGGCAGCTTTTTTAGTGCTTGGTAGTCAAAATAACAGCAAATTACAATCCCAAGAGGCAGTTTACACATTGATTGATCATATTAGTAGAAGTGCCTTTTGACTATTAACAATTTGCAACTTCAAAACACCATTACAATACAATTAAACATAGTTGTAAAATGCTGTCTTGAGGTGCTTATTATAATACCAATAAATACTTTTTAAAGATAGGACACTTGAGAAAGCAGTCTTCCCTAAATGTACATGTGTTCTTATAGAGGTAAAGAAAAATACAACCATCCCTCTACATTTGTGACTTTGACTTTTGGGGATTTGATTATTGACAGATTTGATTAAAATGTCATTTCTAAGAATCTATAGGCCCTCCAATTGGCTTTTATGATCACCTTCCTGGAAAGTTGACTATAGAGCCATGTGGGAAGAGATAGGGATTCCTAGAGAAGCATTCTCTCCTGACGTTTTGCCTGCATCTATGGCAAGCATTCTCAGAGGTTGTGAGATCACCTCACAACCTCTGAGGATGCTTGCCATAGATGCAGGTGAAACGTCAGGAGAGAATGCCTCTAGAACATGGCCATATAGCCCGAAAAAACCTACAACAACCCAGTGATTCCAGCCATGAAAGCCTTCGACAATACAAAAAATACAGTGTTTTTATATATGCAATTATACAATTTCTGTAGTGGTCCTGTGCCTCTAATCCCAGCAAATGTGGATGGCTGACTGTAATTGCAACTGAAGGAAGAAGAGGAGAATGTTTGAATTTTAGCTGTAACAGCTAGTTGATAAACAAGCTTAACTATGCAAGTAATAATAATAATAATAAACTTTTATTTTTATTCCCACCCTATCTCCCCAAGGCGGACTCAGGGCGGATTCCAACATAACAACAGCAAATATTCAATGCTTACAAGATATATATATATATACATACAATATATTATATTATTAGCATAGCACAATATCAGTATTTTATATTACTATATTGTACTATGCTATTATCTTGTAATGTTATTAGTAAGATTACATGTGATATAAAATATATAATTATAATATTGTATTATTTTTAGTAGTATTGTATTACATTATAATATTATAAATATTATATTATATTATATTATATTATATTGTATTATATTATTAGCATAGCACAGGAGACAAGGTGGAACTGTCTTTCTACCCCCCATCTCTTTAATGTTGTTTAGATGAGTAGGATCATTAGATTAGATAAATGATTTTAATTTATAGTTATATGCCAGTGTTTAGTTATATGCATGTTGGCATTGCATTCTTGCCATTAATATGTTGTAAACTGCCCCGAGTTCCCCCAGGAGAGAGAAAGGTGGTATATAAATATACTAAATAGGTAAATAAATAAATACCTATGTCCAAGCACTGATGTGCAAAAACAGTTTCTGACATTCATGGTGTGTTCTCCAAGAATCATTCATTTTCTGTTTACAAAGTGAATAACAATAACAGCCTTAACTGAATGTTTTACAGTGGATCAGCAAGTCAAATCCTTAGCATCACTTCTCCCACTGTATCGAGGTTTCGATGGCGAAAAGGGAGGGAGTAAAAACTGCTATGGAGCTGCTGGTAAATCTATTTATCTTAAGGTAGGCAATTAATTTTTGTGCTTAAATATTCATTCTTTTAAATGCTTACCAGTATGAATGACTTGTCAGTTGGTTTATTATATGCAGAAAATAAAGCTTGTTTTGAAGCCAGGTGTGTTCATGATGCAAAGCCCTAGCCTTAATTTGGCTCCAATTTGTCTTTGTTTCTAAGGTCCCCATTGGTACTGTGGTTAAGGAGGACAATGAAATTATCGCTGACCTCAACCAGCATGGTGAGGAATATGTTGCAGTCTATGGTGGAACTGGTGGCAAAGGTAATCGTTTCTTTCTGGCCAATGATAATCGAGCACCAGAAACAGCTACTGAAGGAGAGCCAGGAGAAGAGAAAGTTCTTAGTTTGGAGCTCAAGACGATGGCCCATGCAGGCCTGGTACGTACTTTTTCAGCAGAGTATTTGGGAGGAACAATGTGAGGAGAATCCCATTAATTCTGGGTGTGGAAAAGGAAGGGAGAGAGGAAGTTGGATGAGATTTTACATGAAATGATTTGTACTAGATTGTTTTGGATTCTTCGTTGTTGTTTTATTTTGCTTTATGATGCTTACTTGAACTGCTAAGTCTGTGGGAACATGAAAGAGTAAGAACCTGAAAAGTGTAGGTTTATTTTTCCTGGCCAAGAGAGTGCTTTATGGGATTAGGAATGGTTTTGAATAGGGTTTTAAAAACTTATTTTGATTATTGTTTTAATAAGTGTAATATATAATTCCTTTAGGCTGAGAAAGGCGGTATATAAATACAGTAAGTAAATAAATCTGTAAACATGACTTTTTAAACAGGCCTTCGACCTTGATTAGAATTTTAATTGTCAAACTCGAGGACTTAGTGATTTGCTTCACTTTGACACTTTGGATTGATACTTGAAGAAAGCTTATTTTATCTACAGGAACTGTGGCATATGAATTTTGGATTTTATTAACTAGGATTTATGTGATGTTTTAATGTAAATTGAGGTGTAAATTTTATATTATCATCGTTTTAATTGCTTATGCATTGTGTATTCTATGTGTGCAGCACTTTGGAGTGCCTTTCTGAGCTGCCCCAAGTTCCTTCTGAGAGATGGTGGCGGGATATAAATCAAGTATTATTATTATTATTATTGTTATTATTATTATTAAAAACGTTGACATAATCACGATCTGTCAACTGCAAAAGGCTACCTTACTTGGATCTGCACGCATCATTCGAAGATACATCACACAGTCCTAGACGCTTGGGAAGTGTTCAACTTGTGATTTTGTGATATGAAATCCAGCATATAGATCTCATTGTTGTTGTTTTTGTTGTTGTTGTTATTATTATTTGTAGATTTTTAAATGGTATAGTTTTTAATCCCCTTTGGGTCCCAGTCCTGGGAAAAGAGCAGGCTATAAATTGTTGTTGTTGCTGTTATTGTTGTTGTTGTTGTTGTTATTATTATTATTATTATTATTATTATTATTATTATTATTATATTTGTTCTCTGCCTCTTCTTATGGCTCAAGGCAGCATACAGCATAGTTTAAAAAGTCCTTTAGTAAGAAAACAGGCTGGAATATCTATAAGACAGTTCTTTGTGGCCATTTCAGAAGCAGAGAGGTTGGCTTCAATTTTTCTTTCCGAAAGGTCAGACTGACTATAATTCACCCATTCAAGGAGAGTGGTGGGCAAAGTGTGACATATCCCATGTCTGTCCCCAGAGTTGTTTTATGCCCCCCTGCAAGTTTTTTTTGTCTCCCAAAAAAACATTCTGCAAGGCCATTTCACCACATTTTAGGTATGCTCTGCCCATTTTATCTTAATAGTAATAATATTCCAGCAAAATTGTCTTAAATTTCTTCATTGGTAGGTATTATGCAGATGGTTTTCTGATTCTGCATATGGTGGTAGTAGAAGGAACAGATCTGCTAACTATTGGATCCACCATGTCATGCAGAATTAAATATATGAATGGAAGATGCTTGTGCTTGCTGCTGCTTCACAAGCCAAGTCTTTGCAGAATGATGTATTAAAATGCCAATATTGTGGTTTAGTGAGGGCAGTTTTACCAGAGTTGGCTACTTTTTTTACATATTACATTTTGGGTTGCTCCTTCCAGGTAGGATTCCCTAATGCCGGGAAGTCTTCACTGTTGCGCGCGATCTCCAATGCAAAACCAGCCGTGGCTTCTTACCCCTTCACAACCTTAAATCCGCACGTGGGCATTGTCCACTACGAAGGCTATGAGCAAGTTGCAGGTATGGCTTTATAAGGCTCCCTTTGTGCTGCTTATTAGCTTGAGCTGAGCTTTAAAGTATTAAAACAGCATAAACAAAATGTTATAGCCTGAATACTCTTTTTAAAAGGCATGTTGCTCTCGTCTATCATCTATAATAGCTGGATATTCTTAGAACAAACAGACCTAAAAGTAAAGATAATTACACAGTATTCTTTGACTTGAAATACATTGAAATAATTCACTCTACTGTCATAAGTGGTCTGTCTTTGAAATACTTTGTGTACGTTAGCTGTAAACAAACTAGGAACACATTGTTCTGGACTGAACTTGGAGGAGTTATTTTTTTGGTCTGGCCATATTGATAGTATTTTTTTTTTAGCTCCAATCCTCGTATTAGTCCTATCCACCAAAGACAACAGTAGGAGAAGGAGATGTCTGTAACGTTGGCTACTGCCCATCCTAGTTGTAAGTGGGATTGACATTGAGATAGACTCCTGCTACTCATTGTATGGTATGATGTTATGAAATTGGAGTGGGCAGCCATGAAAAGAGGAGTTATGATGCTTACAAAAAGAGAAGCTGCTCTGGTCCCTGTCTTTCAAAAAAAAAAAAGATCTGTCACCGTTGCTACCCTTTGTCTTTCAGGGTGGAAAGAAGCAGTTCAGACCTCACCAGACTGCATCTTCCTGACAAAAGACAAATGCCTTTGCTCTCAATTCCTTTATTTATTATTATGTTTTACAATTATATGCTGCCTTTCAGGAAACAGACCTTTGTAGGGCAGCTTCAAATAACATAAATATATGTTTATGAAATCACAGTGAAACATATTAGCCTTTAAAGAATCATTAGGATCTTTTTTTCACTTGTAGCAGATGACCAAGTGAAGGGAGGGAGAGCCCATCTGGAACAGGATCCAAAGCCTGCTGCTTTCTTCACCCGCTTCCCTATATTGTGCGATTACTTATGCAGGACAGTTGAGATCAGATGCTCCCAAATACAGAGGAGTCTTTTCCACAGGGCAGATGAGGAGTAGATGTCCCAGGAGAGGAGAAAATCCAGTTGTTTTTCTCTCGCACAGCTTGTACATTCCCATGGGCATTTTAAATCTTTTACTTTTACTTGAGTAAAAGAGTTTCCGTTCTTAATGGATGTTTAGACTCTAATCTGTATCAAACATAATGTTTTGTGACAGTGGTGTTGTATTTTAATCCATTGTACAATTCCCAGAGCATTCATGTTTTAATATATTTAGTAAAAGCAATGAAAAATAATTCATATATTACACCAGTCTTACAAAATTTTATGTCCTTTTTTGCCTCATAGCTCTGTGTAAGATTCCATAATAAAGGATCACATTTAAATATAATAATAATCTAGATGCACAACATAATCAGCATTCAACCAAACTGTATGTTTTAATCAATCCCAGGGGGTAAAATTTCTACAATCAGTGTCATTAATTTACATTAAAGGCAAAGAGATGTGGCCATTCTAATTAGGATACTTCATTTCCATAGAAACTAGTGGATGATATTGCAGATAAGGCATATTTTTAACCTTAACATGTGCCCTGGCTCTGGAGCAAGAAGACCTCCTGGCTAGATTTAACACATTTGTGTGCTTTTTTGTGTGTGTCAGGAGCGATTTGAGAAACTGCAAGTCGCTTCTGGTATGAGGGAATTGGCCATCTGCATGCCCAGATGTTTTACCATCATATGGGAGGTTTCTGTCATGTGCCAGCATGAGAAGCTGGAGCTGACAGATGGGAGCTCATCCTACTCTCTGGATTCGAACCATGCCAACATTTCAGTCAGCAGTCCTGCCGACACAAATGGTTAACCCATTGCGCCACCGGGGGCTCCTTTGTGTGCTGCAGTTTATACATGAGAAGTATAAACAAGAGTTTTTTATTATTATTTTTTCCTAAATGTCTTGGCAAAGAAGACAAGACTGCCTTCTCCTCAAGCCCTTTATATTTGCTATAGAGGACTTGGGATGGAAACAGCATCTTGTTACTTGTGGAGAAATTTGAAGAAAGCAAGACCCGTTCAAGAGAGCTTGTTGATTGTTATCTTTGGTGTTCTGCAGCAGGAACAATAACAAACCTTATGCACATGCTAAAGCATGTGTACAAGTATCGAGAACAGGAATGGGCAAACTTTGGCCCTCCAGATATTTTGGACTTCAACTCCCACAATTCCTAGGAATTGTGGGAGGTAAATTCCAAAACACCTGGAGAGCTGAAGTTTCCCATGCCTGTGCTAAAGGTAAGGTGGAAGCAGAGCTGGTATTTGTGGAATCTGGGGGGAAAAGCTGCCAGAAAGATACTTCTGTTTGAGGGTCCACCACCAACATCCACCAAGGTGACAGTTCAAGTATACATAATCATATAAACCATCTGTCTTCTAAGGATATGTCTGAGCAAACTGGGATTACTGGTTGCTTCCATAGCGATGGAGAATCCTCTCCAGGTTTTAGCTCAAACTGTAAAAAAGCTTCCTTTCAAATTGGTTTAGCACTTTGAAGAACTCCTTTAAAGTTCACACTAAAACCCAGAACACATTTTTTACGCCCTCCTATTGCAAGGCAATAGTTGTGAGATATTTGTGAACAAAATAGGTCACATCTCTTCCTGCCTGCTAGCTACTCTTGTCTTTGCTGAATTTGGTGAAGAAACATTGGATACATTTTTCTGAAATTACTCAAAGACCAGCACTCTATTGATTGCTCTGCTGTCTTTTTGCCTTCTTTTTGCAGTTGCGGATGTCCCTGGCATAATAAAAGGAGCCCATCAGAACAGAGGACTTGGCTTAGCTTTCCTAAAGCACATAGAACGCTGCCGGTTTCTTTTGTATGTGTTGGATCTCTCTGTGCCTGAGCCATGGACGCAGCTGCGAGACTTAAAATACGAACTGGAACAGTATGAACAAGGCTTGTCCAAGAGACCTCACGCCATCATCGGGAACAAGTTTGATCTTCCGCAGGCGAAGAGCAATTTGCCTCTCCTTAAGGAGCAAGTGGAACAGAGAGTCATCCCACTGTCTGCCCTGACAGGAGACAATCTGGAGGAATTATTGTTGCACCTGAAAGACCTTTATGATCATTATGTAAAGACAGAAGAACGACAGAGCTGTAAGCCCATGAAGTGGTAGCTAGCAGGAAAGCTCCTTTTTGGTCACATCTAGGTAGAAAGGGGATGAAGAACAAAATACCTTTTGTGAAACACACCCAAAGTAAAGACACTTTATCATAAAAGCTGTGGAAACATGCCAGTGACTCCCTCTCCCCCAATTGCTTAATTAGGTTCTTAAAGACATAAGGAATAGTCTGTTGGCTCTGGTTAATCTGATTATATATCATTGTAAAATGTTTTTATACAAATGTGGAAACTAATACTAGGGCGAACAGGTATAATACAGAAACTCGCATTCTGTCAATGTGCCTAGACCTTTCCTTGAATCTTCTTGCTTTGTACTGTTGAAGGCTTTCATGGCCGGAATCACTGGGTTATTGTGAGTTTTCTGGGCTATATGGCCATGTTCCAGAAGCATTCTCTCCTGACGTTTCACCTGCATCTGTGGCAGGCATCCTCAAAGGTTGTGAGGTCAGGAGAGAATGCTTCTGGAACATAGCCATACAGCCCAGAAAACTCAAAACAACTCAGTTTGCTTTATTTCTATTTTATTTGAGAAATAGGCAAGAATGAATGACCATCTGTAATAGGGGAGGCGGTATGACAAGTGATAAATCATTTGAAACAGTGCTATGAAAAGCTAACTGATTTTACTGGTCTTAATCGTGCTTAATTTTGTGTTGGATTATGGCCACAATCAATTTCTAGGGCACAAAAAGAACAGAGAATGCCAGTTTTAGGACATGCATATATTGTGTTGAAGATGTGCATAAAAACACCATGATTGGGTTGCTGTAGCATATCGCTCAAAAAAAAGATTTAATCCTTTTGGCCACATTTCTTTCTTTGTGGACCATGGTTACCCATTAGAATGCTACATAGCTAGGAAGGGATAATAAGAATGTACAAGTCATTATCCATGGATGTCGTCTTTCTTCTCTTTTATTTTACAAGAAAATCCTGCTTTTGTTCTCTGTCTTCAGTTTCTTAATGGAGAGAAATGATAAATTGGGAGGATTGAGATGAATTAGTAGGATGCTTCACTGTGCATAGTGGAATAATAGTAAAACCATGTCCTCGAATGCCATCTATTTTTCTCAGGATCTGTTCACACGACCTTTAAGACATTCTTCTCGAAAGCTTCATTGTTGACCAGTTTCTGGTTTGAAGACTAGCTAGAGGAAATCAGTGAGCCATTTAAAGATACACTCAAATTAAACTTGGTCTACCTTGGCCCCCAATATTCCTATATATCTATCCATACACACACACACACACACACGAGGCCCACATATCATATGGAGGATCAGATATTCATGTAAAACATTTTTATGTCTTTTAGAACCCTTTATTTTTTACTGTCCTGATTTTAGAGGTTTTCAAAAGAATTTTTTAGTACTGGCTACCATTATTTAAAACCTCAGGACAGTAAAGAAAGAACAACACTCAAAACAGGGGAATTCCGGACAAGAAACAATCAGGGCAAGCTAATCTCCCAACAAAAGATTACGCTGGGCAGGAAGCAGCCAAGCCTTGAAGCTGGAAAGCTATTCAATGCTCATCAAGGTCAATTGCAGCATTCACACTCCATTCACACCTAGCTCCAGAAAACATTCACACCTAGCTCCAGCAGACAAGAGTCCTTTGTCTCACCCTCGTCATTCCACAGATATATATATATAAACGCTTTTTCCTAGTTCCAACAGACCTCACTACCTCTGAGGATGCTTGCCATAGATGCAGGCGAAAGGAGAGAATGCCTCTAGACCAGGGGTCCTCAAACTAAGGCCTGGGGGCCAAATGCGGCCCTCCGAGGTCATATACCTGGCCCTCTCTTAGGGTCAACCTAAGTTTGTAATGACTTGAAAGCACAGAACAACAACTACAACAACAATACTATCTCATCAGCCAAAAGCAGGCCCACACTTCTCATTGAAATACTAATAAATTTATATTTGTTAAAATTGTTCTTCATTTTAATTATTGTATTGTTTTTAAGTGGTTTTTGCACTACAAATAAGATATGTGCAGTGTGCATAGGAATTCATGTTCTTTTCAAATTAGAATCCGCCCCCCCAACAGTTTGAGGGGCTGTGGACCCCTGCTCTAGACCATGGCCATATAGCCTGAAAAAACCTACAGTAACCTAATGCCTCCACCTTCGTAACTCCTCAACAGATGGCAGTACTGGTGTGCGGCAGACATTGGCTTGTTCAGTAGACTCCTTTACAGTTCTATTTTGGCAGGAAGCCTTAGCATTGAACGGTTGTGTTGTTAAACTGTGAAATATGGAACCCTGAACAGACGGTCGGTCAGTGTGACTTAAGCAACATGAAGTCATTGAATTTTTGACAGCAGTCATTGTATCACTCAGAGAGAAATTTCAAACATAATCGACATTTCACAAGAATGTGTGGGCCACATTATTGTTTTGCTTGGCTATCAGAAGATCTGTGCACAATGGGTACCCAGGATGCCGACGCCTGGAATGAAAACGCACAGACTTCTTCTGTGACGGCTTTCGAAAACTTGTTCATTGTTGGCAGAAATTTATCCAATTGTCTGGTGATTATGTGGAAAAATGAATAGTGGTAGTTAAAGAGCACATTCTAAGGATTATTTCTGCATTTGATTTATTAAAATATTCCAATCCAAACCCAAGTAACAAAGGTGGGGGCATTACTTTTCATTCAACCCTCTTATATTCCTCTAGATCTCCTTGAGGGGACTCAGAGTGGATTACAGGTACATATATGGCCAACATTCAATGCCATTATACAACTGACAAAGACAGACAATACATAAACAGAGGCAAGGCTTCTTGCACCATGGGTAGCTTTAGAAATTGGTGCGAACCTTTCTTTGTGCTTTGTTTATTGTGATGTTCAAGTATTTGCACTTTCTCTTTGATTTGTTAGGAAAGAAACTGCAGATATAAAAAGCATTTGCGTTTCGAAAGCTGTGCAACAAAGGCTCTGCACCCAGCCATTTCTTTACAACGGTTGGGCGGTATATTACCAGCGCTCTGTTCATAACTGATAAGCAAAGGTTCCTGTGGATCTCAGACTTCTCCTGTTGTCCAAAGTGACTCACTTTGTTTGGCCCTTAATCAACACCAGGACTAGATCCCTTTTATATGGCATCGGTGCTAATTCTTTCAAAGGCTGCTTTAGTCTAGAGTGAAGCAAGGCACCCTGGTAGAACGAACAACCAGAAGAGAACACAATGTCTTAGAAACAAGTGGGAGTTTTTTGTTTGTGCGCCTTGCAAGAAGCCTCAGCCTTCACCTTTCAGCAGCCATCTGGTTCTTTATTTTCAATGTTGTGTTTGTCTGAGAAGCTGCTAAATAGTGTAGCAAGAGATGCGACTAAGCATCTCACTGGTGTCTTCAAAGCATATAATCTTCAAACCCCAACAGGATGCTCTCTAATCAAATTAACTTGGAAGACGTTTTGAATGACTGAGACCCATTCATCTTCTGCGGGAGAGTGTAAATGAGTCATCAGTTTTGTTCTCTGATTGAAACATAACAATTGATTAAGATGAAAAGAAGATGAAGGATGGATTGTGTAAGTTATGAAAGCTTCTTCAGGTGCCATTGAACCAGCTCTCTCCTCCCTGCTATATACTAATGTCTTGTCAGTTTCCTATTCTACTGAAATATTGCCTTCATTCATCAGATTTTATTTTGTTTGTATGTATCTCTCCCTGGGCTGTTTCTAATAAAATGCAATGGAAGGCCAGACAAAGGTGTTTTTAAAACAAAGCATCAAAGACTTTGGCTGGAAAAGAAAAACATCCCAAACAAAATATAGTTTATCTCAGCTTTCATCTACCATTTAAAAGCAAGTTTGGAAAAAGGCCAAGGCATCCTCCCTGAGCTGAATGTGCCAAAGTTGGAGGTTGCAACTGAGAAGGCTCTATATTTGAGAAGAAATTTAGAATTCCCATCAGTCCTTGCAAGTATAGCAGGTGGTGAGGTATGCTGGGAATAGCTAGATAACAAACAGGCTTCAAACGATGGAGGCAAGAGGAGACTATAAATATGGAGTTTGTAAAGGTTTCCCCTGACATTAAGTATAGTCATGTCTGACTCGGGGTGGTGCTCATCTCCATTTCTAAGCCAAAGAACTGTCGTCCATAGACACCTCCGAGGTCATCTGGCCAGCATGACTGCATTGCGCACCATTATCTTCCAGCGGAAGCAGTACCTATTGATATACTCACATTTGCATGTTTTCAGACTGCTAGGTTGGCAGAAGCTGGGGCTAACAGTCATCTCTCTGAAGTCTTTGAAAGTCTTTCGCCTCTGGTGCAAAGCAGTGGTTATAAACTGTCTTAGTCTTCTTTCTTGTGAAGCTAAGCTGGTCAAAAGCTTCTGTTGTCTCTGGAACTGATGGTATAAGAATACTGCTGAATGTAGGTGCTAAGGATGCCTGTTTTTGAATTGCTTGGGCCTAGGATTACCAGACAATTCCCAAGCCTCTATTCTCTGTAGCTCTGTTGCAAAAAGAAAGTAAGGAAGGAAGGAAAGAAAAAAAGAAAGAAATTCATCAAAGGAGCTCTATACAGGCAAATAGAATAGGCCAATTAACACTGGCCTTTAGGGGTTTTTTTAATGCTCCACCCAAAAACTAATTCAAAGGAAGGTATCTACACTACTGGAAAATCTATAAATGGGGAACTGAAGCAGAGGAGAGGAAAAGGCAGAACTAAGACTATGGCCATCCAGCCTCTGCTTAAAAGCCTCCAAAGAAGGAGCCTCCACCACACTCTAGTTTCATTTGGTTTTATTTCAGTTTGAAATTTTTGAGCAAACATGCCAAAATCTCGTAACCCATCCACAACCCATTATCCAAAACAAGTGTTCCTAAACATTTGGCTGATAGAAAACCCCGTATACGTCATTTATTATATAGCATGGTGGCAACAAATACGGCTCTCTTTTTAAATAAATAGTCACAAATATCTCCATGAAATGTTTTTGACCCATGGGGTGATCTTAAAGGTTGTCTAAGTGTGTTACCTGGATAGCACAAATTAGTGGCTATAGAAATGATTGAGCAGGAAGCAAATGTTGCTACTGTTATCAGAATGGACTTTATGATATTTCTTGTACAAAAAAACACAACCCTTCCAGTCTTCTAGGCACCGGAGAAGAGATTCAAACAAATCATTTAGATCCTCTTTAGAAGTCACCATAACAAGCGGTGTCTCTACAATTTGCAGGAAACCATTCACAATAAATACACTTATCTCTGTAGTTGTTGCTAAGCTTTCAAATAGATTTCATCAAGCATACAC